TCCAATTTTTTCCTACTCACGGGTAGCTGCTTTTCGTAGCCAAATTGTCCCAGGAAAAAGTCAGCGCTCTCCGATAACGGCTGTGCGGCTTCGCTCCGCGGAAGAAGCAGTCCACTCACAGCACCGCGCCACTCACCCTGCTTTGCTCCGGAGCCCAGAAAAGGGGTTCCTTTGCAGATTGGGGGGGCGCTGAAGGTGCCCGCTGAGTCCCACGCTCACAGGCTTCACCCGCCTGTGATTTTTAGAGGGGTCCCCGCTTCGCCGCAGCGGTCAGACCCGATCCCGCGGAGCTGGTCCCTCAGAAAGACAGAGGGAATCCGCCATTACCGATGGTGCTAACCCGGAAGTCCTATACATGGTTCATATTGATAGGATGTCTCATTTGCCATAGTTGAACTGCTTGACCTGCCCCTTCCTTGGTTTTCCGAAGCTATAGGGAGAAGCCCCACCAGCCTTCTGGTGGCAGTCATATACCTGTATAGGGTCTTTGAGTGTGGTGGCCATGCACTGGCGATTCTGAGAGGAGGGGCACTTGCTGGTGGATTTCCTTCATTGTGCTTCTCTCCACAGGGGTGACCACACCTATGCCGAGTGCTTCTTAACTGTGGTAGCGAAGTCCACACCTTGTGTTGTTTTTAGTATTGATGGCTCCTTCACGGCCAGTGTCTCTATTATGGGCAGCGACCCCAAGGTGCGCGCTGGTGCTGTTGATGTAGTAAGGTAGGTAATAGCCCTTCCTGGGGACCCCATACCTTTCCCTGACCTGGTTGTCACTTCCCCCTTCCTATTGACTCTGAAGTGTGTGGGGGTGGGGGAATGTTGATGATAATCTCGCCACAGCTCTGTCTCCTGCTGGATTGATTTATAAATTTCTTCAAAATTCACGTTATCACAATTCATCAAGAATTTTGAGCTGCAGAGACTGGTATGTGACTGCTCAGCAGAGTAAGAAATCAAACTTGCCAGCATTCACGTCCTCCACCACCATCCTTGAGTCTGCTTAACTGTGGAAGTTCAGTTTTCTCAGCAGAGTGAAAATGTGTAAAATAAATTTAAAATCCTCACTCTTCAAGACTTAATAAAAGCTTGAAGCACCAATTATGGAAACAACTCTACTCCCCGCCCCCAAATTGTCATATCTACATCTATATATCTCAGTGCCAAAATGCTGTCAAGGTGGATTTATTGAAAGAAGGTTTTGTCGGATGACTGGATTTTATTTTGATACTCACATTTGTCTAAACTAGAGTTGATGTCTGATAGATGAAGTTTATAAGATCACATTGGCTGCATCCCTTCAGAATGCATCTGGTACAGAGTGCCACTTCACTCTTAACAACCACCTTGTTGTACAAAAGGAAATCACTTTTTCATGCAGCAAGCAACATGGGAAGTGGAGAGGGCTACTTGACATTAAAAAAATAGAGTGAGCTTAGTCTTACACCCCAGAAGGCACCCTGAATGAATGAATGAATGAATGAATGAGCCACCCAACTGCCACAAATACGGTAATCCCTCTTTGCCCCTTTAGGCATTGGCAGGACTCCGGTTACATGATCATCTACGTGACAGGGCGTCCAGACATGCAGAAGCACCGTGTGGTGGCCTGGCTTACCCAGCACAACTTCCCCCATGGGGCCGTCTCTTTCTGTGATGGCCTCACGCATGACCCTCTTCGACAGAAGGCTGCCTTTCTACAGGGCCTTCAGCAGGAGGTACGTAAGCATTCACCAAGGGTTCAGATATAATTGTGGGAAGGGCTGCAGCACAACTGAGAGAGGCCCATGTGTGTGGCTCTGGCGTACCTTGCAGTGCCTCTGAGTGCAGCAGAAAGAGCACCACAGGAGAAAAAATGTGGGAGAGAAGTCACCGATGTCTTCATCCATTTATTGCAGGCAGAGGTGACCATAGTGGCTGGCTATGGATCCACCAAGGATATCTCAGTCTACAGTTCTCTAGGGCTTCCCGCATCTCAAATCTACATTGTGGGCCGGGCTGTGAAAAAACTGCAAAGCCAGTGCCAGGTATGGAGTTTTGTTTCACAAAAAGCGTTGCCTCAGCTGCAGGCTGGGGGCTCCTCAGGCTCTGAGGCCTACAGAGCTTGTTGCTCCCTCAGGGAGGGGAGGTGAAGAACAGGGCAAGCATCAGCTCCATTCTCCTTTCTCCTTGCAGTTCCTGTCAGACGGCTATGTCGCACACCTGGCACAGCTGGAAGCGTCATCTCTCGCCCACTCGCCGAAGGGGACGACAAGGCCCACGCTGGGCAAAGGCAGCTACGGCTGCCCTGCTCCCGTCGACTTCCTGCGCAAGCAGAGCCAGCTGCTGCGTTCGAGGGGGCAGAGTCAGGCCGAGCGAGAGGGGCAAGGGAACGCCCAGCCCCGAGCCAAGACGCGCAGCGTCAGCCTGAAGTTGGAGAGTGAGGAGTGAGCCCGCCGTGGGGTAGTCTCTGCATTTTCTGACTCGCAGTGGCTGGTGCCAGGGCTGGGCCTGTGAGAGGCCACAGTTGTGAGAGAAGGGGGCCAAGAATACTAGGTATGGTTGGTCAGGGGGAAGAGTGAGAGAGGGGGCTCTGCCCAGCAGAGGCGGCAAGCTGGCATACAGTGCCACAAGGATACGGAGGAGAGAACTTCTATATAATCCCAGAGATTGCTTCCATTCCCATTAGTTCCAACTCCTGCCTGTTCTGTTTTGTGGTCTCTTCTGACCTGCAGTTCAGCCAGTGTCCCTCAAGTCATACCCTCTGGGGATTGGGGAGGGGGGAGGGACAAATGGGGGTGGGGATGTTCATATTACCCTGACTTAAAAGTGTGCTACGTTGCTTGTGAATTGACTGTTCACATTCCTCCCCCTTTTCAAATGATTGAGGTCTGGGATATATAGTATTCCACTCTCCCCATTTGATGCCACGTGAGGCAGTAGTGGGTCCAGCCCCAACCATCTCCCAGGTCTTCCTATATCCCTCTGTGGCTAAGGTTAGGGTGGGTGGTTAGGGAAATATATACATCAGGGATCCCAGCTGCCCCTTTCCTGCAGAGGTTGAGCGCCTTGCTCCAGTCCCTAGTGCCGTTTCTCAGTCCAATCCTGCCTGTGCCCCGGTCTTTGGGTGTCTGCATGATACTGCCCTCCTGTGCATGTATTGTGTCCAGTGTGAGAGCACAGGATAGCCATGAATAAGGATGAATCCATACTTCCTTCCTGACAAAGGAGGGCTTGGTATTTATTTCATTGTGTCAGAATTGCCGGGAAGTCGAATCCTGTTTTGGAAGATTTGTGGGGGTTTTACATTTATCTTTAAATGTGTTATAAAACTGAAAAAATAAAATAAAAACAAAAATTGAAGAGTGAATGTGTGTTTTGAGGTAGCAGTTGAGGGATGGGTTAGTTTGGTACAGTTATGTGCCACCCACATATCCGAGCGGTGTGGGATTCCAGGGGTACCAGGATCATTTACCAGGGTCTGTGTTACCTTTTGGAACAATGAGGCAAACCAGAGCTTGTGGTGTCTTTAGGTTGTATGGTTTATTTACACATATGTACAACCTTTGCCTAGATGAGAGAGTGCAGAGCATTTACATCCCAAGAGGGTCCTGTTCCTCCCATTGCTGCAGCCTCTGATTCCAGGAGACCCCAAACATCATTTCTGACCCTCTCTGCAGCACCTCGTGCTCCGCCCCCATCCTCTCTGGCTTGCAAAAATGACACTTTTTCCTGTTCACTTATCTCACCACCCACTGCAGTTTTGCCCCTCCCTCCTGAAACTCCGACTTTTTGTCTCTGCTATCTCTCACCTGAAGGAAGGACTTTCCCCATTTTCTATATGGCCCAGAGAGTCTCTGTTAATGGCCTTCTTAATGGGTTAATGACTGGCCATCATCAGCCTTTATTCTCCCAATGACTCCCATCCAGCCATCTCTGCTGAGCTGGCCTGGGTTGTTAGCAGAAACTAAATGGGGGAGATGGCGTGTTTGGCATAGTTTAATCAAAACTTGATTAATTTTAACTTTCACTAAATCCAAGAATTTTGGGTCACTCTGGCACTCAGCACTTATAACAGTCCCCTGAGGAGTGGGGGCAGGCTTGACAGCTGATGCGTACACAAGGCCAGTTGCAAAGTCATGGTCACACCATGAGTGTAGGATCTGCTCTGACAACTGCTCTGTGGGTCTTGATCTTAAGGATACTGATCAAGCTAAATCCTAGAAGAAAGTGTTGTGGAAAAGAGGACCTGTGATTAGCATTTCAGTCAATGTAGGACATTTTATTTTATCTGGTGCTGGAGTGACTTCAAAACAATCCATTAAAATCTGTTGCAGCCTTCGATAATTATAAAAAATAATACATAATGTCATCACTTAAAAAAAAAAAAAATCTATTGCAGTCGAACAGGATGGCCCCTCTGGAATTTGTCACACACACACAAATTTGTAAATCTGTCTGTGCTTGGCTACCCAGAGCTTAAATAAATGACGTTTCACACACCTTTTCAAACACATGCATTTGGAGAGATTCTCTAACTTGGCAGAGAGAGAGAGAGGACCTGAAATACAGGTCAAACTGTATCAATACAGGACATAGCATTTTACATTGAAATATGGGGAGAACCCGAATTATACAAGACAGGTGGCAACTCTAAAGGTAAAAAAAAGGTAAAGGACCCCTGGACGGTTAAGTCCAGTCAAAGGCGACTATGGGGTTGTGGCTCTCATCTTGCTTTCAGGCCGAGGTAGCTGGTGTTTGTCCACAAATAGCTTTCTGGGTCATGTGGCCAGCATTACTAAACCACTTCTGGCGCAATGGAACACCGTGACAGAAACCAGAGCGCATGGAAATGCCGTTTACCTTCCTGCCACAGCAGTACCTATTTATCTATACTTGCCTCGGTATGTTTTCGAACTGCTAAGTTGGCAGGAACTGGAACAGAGCAACGGGAGCTCACCCCATTGTGGGGATTTGAACCTCCGACCTTCTGATCGGCAAGCCCAAGAGGCTCAGTGGTTTAGATCACAGTGCCACCTGTGACCTACTTACAACTGAACCCCAGGCACTATTACATGGTACTGAAAAGATGTGACGGTGATTTACTGTCTTTCACAACCATTTTCTAACAATTTGCTTTATTAGCAGAGTAAGGCACTAGAAAGCCGTACAGCTCTAATTTTTCCATAACAGCATAATACAGTGGAAATAAGGAAAGTCCAGGTTTCTAAAGAACACAAGAATCCACGTCCAGCCTCCCTGTTCTCGCTCCTCTGCCTCCACCATGTTCTTCGAGCAAAAGGCAACCATCTTTCAAGGTGGTTTGCATTGCTTTATTGGTGCATCAGTGATAAATAATAATGGATATGGCAGATCAAGATGGTAGATAATGATAAATACTGTGAATTCTTAATGTAGCCACGCATTACAAAAACCAAAAACAAAATGCTTGAAACCTTACAATCAAACATCCACAAAGCAAAAAAGAGTGGCGACGATTAAAAATCCAACTTTATCCAGTGTATGGCTCATAACCGGCAGCATAGCGGGGCCTACAGACAGAGAAAGAAGAAAGGAATGTGTAAGAGGGTGTCAAATGGGATGTGGGGGTGGGGATAAGAGCCCTGGGTTTTGGTGGAAAAACCAAAATGGAAGCAATGAAATAATATATACAGGATAGGGGAAGGCAATAACTCAGTGGTAGAGCACATGCTCTGCAATCCAAAGGTTCCAAGATGAGTCCCCAGTATATGCAGGGTAGGTCTGGGAAGGATCTGAGTGTGAAACCCCAGACAGCTACAGCAAGTCAGTGTAGGGTGGGCAGACTTCAGGCTTGTTAGAATGGTTTTTCTTTTCTACTAGATTTACCAGTCAGATCCAGATATGAAACATTCAACAGTTAGAATTAAAGAACACCAGGGCCTGACATTCTGAGCCTAGTTATTTGTTTCCAGTACCAAAACTGAACTGAGCTCACAGTCATTCACCTAAGAGTCCATTACTGGTTCTCTTTCATCACTGCAGCAGCCTAACGTACTTAGTTGGGGAGAAATGGTTTTGTTGCTGCTATTATACAACTGGGAGCCAGAAACCTTGCCAATCTATGGGAAATTGCCCAGAGATCTACCAGTAGATTCCAATCTGCCTTGGTGGGCATTCCTGCTGTAGACCTTCCTGGACCAACAGAGGCATCAATGGTCTGACTCTACCATTGTAACTTCTTACATGCTGGTTCCAGGTTTTGAGGGGCTCTTGGGCAAGTTGCCCACAGTAGGCCCTTGACTTGGCCACCCCAGCCCATTCCCCTGCCTTCTTCCTCTGGGGTTAAGCTCCTGCCCCTGCCTCATGTCTCAGCTCTTTTATTTAAAGTGTGGGAATTTGCAGTCAAACAACCAGCAATCTTGGAGCTACTTAATGCATGAAGGGGTTAAGAGCACAGAATTGTATTCCTAGACCCAATTAGGTCTCTGGTGAAGAAAGAAGTGAAGCTTCTTTCTTCACTCTCTTCCACCATATGAAGCCAACTCCCATGGATGAATAACCAAGGTTAACCCTAACTTGATGCCACTGGTCACTTGAGAGAGGAATGTATGGAGAGAAGAGCAACCTCTCTAGCCAGGAATGGAAAACCCTGTGACACAAACTATGTGTTTCAGTCTCATAGGAGAGCCAAAAGGGTTGTTTGTTTCAGATGTAACAAAGAGGGACATATACCCAAATTTTGTAAGCTCTCAAGCCAGCAAAATCCCTTTCATTTAAGTGACCAAGTCAAAATAAAGGGAACAAGGAAAAACTTTTTTTTCTGCATGAGGAGAATGTAACTGTAAACAGTTGTGATTCAAAATTAAACAGATGGATAATTGATTCTGGATGTTCTTCACATATGAGTTATGATTAAGACTTCTTTGGAAACATTGACAATATTAATCAGTCTGTGGATAGCAATATTCAAATTGCAAATGGTGTAAGCATGAATATATGTGGTACAGGTTTAGGAACCTTAAACTGCAAGCTAAGCAATTGGTTGAAAGAAAACTGATTGAATTGCAACATGATCTGTGTGTCCACCTCAGACAGAAAAGGTTTCCTTATACAGTCTGGGAATGGTAAATGCCACTTAACCTAAGATGGCAAATTATATGCTGAAGCATGTTTGATTAATGGTGTCTACAAGACTAATCTGTCAGAACTGTGTACTGCAAATGTGGCACACATGCACCAGAAGGATGAAGCAGATCCAGAACTCTGGCACAGAAGGTTTGGTCATAGAGACACCAAGGCCATTGTGGAACTGCAACGCAAGGAACTTGAAACAGGGATGAAGGTAAACCTCAAATCTTCTTTCCCTCCATGTCTTGAACAGAGAAGCACCAGAGTGTTAGATATAGTCTCAACATATGTGTGTGGTCCAATTAATATTCCCTTCCTAGGGAAGAATAAGTACTATTTTTGCTGGATGATTTCTCAAGGTCATTGTGTGGTACACTTTCTAAAGGGGAAAAGTAAAACACTGCAGGTGTTCAGAAAAGACACCATCATGGTGAGCAATAAGAAACAGGGAGGAAGAGGAGCAGTGTGGTCAGGAGGCTCTGGAGGAGGAATAGACAATGTAAATGTTATTGAACAATAGCGCCCATCATCCCTGACCAGTGGCCATGTTGGCTAGGGCTGATGGGAGTTGGAGTGCAACCACAATGGAGAGCTGCAAGTTCCCCATCCTTGGTGTAGAGACTGATAGAGCCACCCTTCCACCCACCCAGTGCACATAGGGCTTGGCAGGTGCCCAACAATTGGAGCCCTGCCTAAACTCTTATTCATAACGGAGAATGAGCTCCACTTCCTTCACTCTTGCAAAGGACTCACCAGTCTGTATGTGTGTTTCCAGGGATGCTTTCAGGAAGCTGTGAGTATCTACAAAATGAAGGTTCAAACGTTAACGCGACGCAAGGGTGACCCAAGTTTTGTTCATCATGAGATTGCTAATTTCCCCTTTTTAAACTGGCCCTGCTCCTGTCCCCTTAACAACATCCTGATAACACAGAAAAGAAGCAGGTGGAACTTTGCCATCTACAGAGAGATACACATACGGGGGTGGGGACAAAGTGGGGACAAGAACTCAGAAAGCATCTGCTTGGAGCAGAATGCACAGCTCCCCTCTGATGCATCACCCAGGGCTTGCAAAACAAAATAGCTCCCCGTGTTGCTTAGGACTGGAAGTTGAAGGCTGGATTTGTCTTCTAGTTCAGGCTTCCTCAATCTTGGCCCTCCAGATGTTTTTTGGCCTACAACTCCCATGATCCCTAGCTAGCAGGACCAGTGGTCAGGGATGATGGGAATTGTAGTCTCAAAACTTCTGGAGGGCCGAGGTTGAGGAAGCCTGTTCTAGTTTGACAGGATCCTCACCTGTTTGCTTCTGTTGCAGTGTACTGTGGTGGGTCAGGAACTCCGTCTGCATAGCGTGGCTGTGGGAGTGATGTCAACGCAACATTTTGTTCTTCATTGTCTGACCTGTGCTTCTTTTTGTCCTGAAAGAAAATGTGCCACCCATCAGTTTCCATGCCTGTTCGTTCTCCCTTCACCACTGCTCCCCGGGTGTTTGAATTGCTATTTACCAGCCACACACGCTCCCAGTTAGCAAATCCGAGTATTTTTCCTTCCACCCTAACTATAGTGGTTCCCTGGTTCAATGTGCAAAGCCACAGGATTGAGACAAGTGAACCAACCTAAAAAATGGAGGGCAGTGACCTCAATGTGCCCTTGCTTCCTACTTTTGCTGCATTGATCTTGTAAAATTTGTGCAACTAGGGTCAGAGCTTGGTTTGCCCCTTTCCCTAGCACTCAATAAGTTGGAGTTCTTGTTGTTAAATATACCAAGAAAAAAGCACACTAAGCTTTTTTCCCTACCACAGCATTTCCCTACTCCAGCTGTGTACCTCCTCTTACGTCATGTGGGATCCACATAAGTGAAAACTTCAACTCTGGGCCAAGGCTTGGATAGAACTCCAGATTTGCAACTGCACTGCCCAACCATTTCCCTCTTCTAGTTGGAGGCTGTTACTTGGTGCTTGCGCTCTGGGGAAGCTACCTCATTTGGTCCATCTAAATCCGTGGCTCCCAATGTGCCCCACAGGGGGGCAAATAGATTTTTAAGGGGGGCAATTCGAGAATGAGTTATTAACAGTTAATGGCCCTTTAAGCTTCCTCCATGTGAATAGGACTTCACTTTTTGAATAATAAGAATAATATGTCACCGGAGGGGGGGATCAAAATATTAGAGATGCTTAGGTGGGGCATAGCCAAAAAAAGGTTGGGAACCACTGATCTAGATAAGTGTCTGCACTAACTGGCAGTGGCTCTCCAAGGGTCTCTGGCAGGAGTCTTTTCCAGTCCTACTGGAAGATGTTGAGATGTTGAATCTGGGGCCTCCTGAAGGCAAGGAAGATGCTCTGCCACTGAACTATAGCCCTTCCCAAGGGGGTTTCCAAGGGGTGCCCCTAGAAAGGATTATTTCTTCTGGGATAAGACATGTAGAAATATAACTGGTTTCTCTCATTGGCATAGTCCTCCTTGCTCGCTCACTTCTGCTGAGAGGGTGATTTTAAGAAGATGGGCAAAGATTTCCAGCTGTCAAATCACTGGAGAACAGCAACAACAAAGCAACATTCCTCCCCAATTGTTGAAATGAAGGCGTTGGGGAATATGTGGCTATCCAGAATTTGTATGGGGAAGGACTGTGAAAGCAGCTTCTGCTACTCAAAACAAACTTTTGGGTTCAGAATGATGGCTTTAATTCTCAGTCTTTTGCACCTGGCTCTGTTTGCTGGATCTTGGAATTACATTAAAACAACAACACAGATCCTGCAAGTCTGAAGTCCTCCCCTGTTAAGCCCCATGTATGAAAACACCCTCATGCCAGCTTTGCATTGTGTTGGAGGGGCTCCAACAACAACAACAACAACTATTATTATTATTATTATTATTATTATTATTATTATTAACCTCGCCCATCTGGCTGGGTTTCCCACTTGTTCCATGTTCTGTGATGATAACCATTTCATACCTACATGCCATCATGGGAGACTAAAGTCATCATGAGATAAACATGAATGTGTGAATTCAGCCTAGTGAGCCTAGTAAGCCAGTCTTATTTTGCAGGCCACTTAGCATACCACTAAATAAATATACAACAAAAGGACGGGAGGCAGAATACTCTGTTATATTTTTGCTTATATTATGAGCTACTGGATCCTCACCTTGCTATTGCAGAGAACTGAAAATGTAGTTGTAGCCTCGAGGAAAGAGAAGAAAAGCATCACACACAGAATTCCCTGCAAAAAACAACAACCAGCCAGTTAAAAATATCAAACATTAATGCAAGGAGAATGATCTCATTCTCAGCTTTTAGGGTGACACTCACACAAGAAGCTTTGTGCAGGAGAATACAACACAAGGAATTTAAGATTAAGTCACTTTCAGAGCTCAGAATAACAGTCCTATAACAATATATTCTATATTTTGTCCAATCAAGGGCTTATCCACACTTCTGCGGATTATCCCATGCCTAGAAAGCATGGGTCCAAGAGGTTTTCCACTTGTCCTGTACTTTCTAGGCATGGGTCTGAGCGCTTTCTTGTTTGCCCCACTGTTTTCCCTGGGAAAACTTTCTCTTTACTGCTTAATTGGAGCAAACAGCACTTGGCTGAAAATCTGATTGCCGCTTGTTCCTATTCAGCAGTAAAGAGTGTGTTCTCCCAGGGGAAAGCTGAGGGGCAAACAAAAGTGTGGATGAGCCCTAATATTAGGTTTTTAACTTGCTTGACATCCAGCAAGTCATAAATGACACCAATCATTTATGATTGACACCAGTCATAAATCTCCCCCTGCAAAAGAAGTGAGGAGATCTATGCCACAAGAGTGGGGTTGCATTTCTCTCCATCCTGCCTTTTCAACTCTGTGTATGCTTGGTGGTCTGTCAAAGTTCAGCAACCTTGCCTGGTGCTGGTGGATCTGTATCAAAGGGAAAGGAATAATGGGGAGAGGAGAATGTGTGAGGAGGAGGAGGGCAAGAGGATCAGTGGGACCGGATGCAGGAGGGTCAAAGAGAGGTCTGGATGGGTCACCAGTGGCCCTTAGGATGTGTGTAGCGCTGTGTAAAGCTGTAGAGGCCAGCCTCTCTCTCCAGGCACTTAAAGGATTGAGACACAGGGCCAGACTGGATGTGATGGGTAGCCACATTTGTTGCCACACAGTCTATCCCATTCAAATATAATGCAGAGGGTGAGAAGGGAATTGCTATTTTCATTGCAGCAGCAAGGAGATGAATTCTATCCCTCTCTCCTCCTTACCTCCCCACGAACATTTTCTCAGGCACTTCTCTCCACCTTCACCACCGCGTGAACAGAACTTGGTGCTTTGCTGCTACCTGTCTCATCCCTTTAAAATATTCTGGCCTACCACTCCTAGTAGCTCTAGGTGGCTGGATTTAGCCCCCTGTTTGGTTTCCTGCCTTGGCATCGTTGAGAGGCACTCTGGGAAATTTAAAGGTATGGCATTGGTTGGCATGCTGTTGCCACAGTGACGTAAGCCTGGGAGGGCCAACTAACAGAGGAAGGGAACCACCAAAGAACACCTTGGCCAGGGCCTCCTTAAACCTGGAACTAGCCTTGTATGGAATCCAGGAACTTACCATTTCATATGCCCCAGTGGTCTTGCAATAGTTTGAAATATTAGGAATTTGTGGAAGAAGAAATTTGGATACAAAGTGAGATGTCTCCGTAACTGCAGAAAAGTTTCTCTCTCTATTTTTTATTACATCAGTCAGCAAAAGACACATTCCAGCGATTGCACCGAGGCCACTAAGAGTGTTAAAGAGGTAACTGAATGCTCCCTGGAAGAGAAAGAGAAAGCTTTGCTTAATTAATTTATGGGTTGGGTGGGGATATGGGTGAGACGGGAAGAATGATCTCGGGAACCAAACCTGACCCTCGCCTTTGCCAGCTCTGACTATGGGAGAACGAGGGAGGGGACTGATTCTGGTAAGAATGAGGCACCCTACATACTGTCACTTGTCTAAGCGGCTTTCAGAACATCAAAGACCCAGCAGAAATGCAAAATGTGGGAGATTCAGGGTTACAGAGTTATAGACGGTTCCAGTAACATATCACGTCATGCAGGGGGAAAAACAGGGCAAGTATAGGGGACAACTAGTATAAATTAACCTAGCCAAAGCAGCCACCAAGCCACCAGAGGAATGTGTGAAAAAGCTCATGGGGCCATTTCCTGTAAACCACAGCAATCTGTCAATCAGTTGGTGTCACTTGGAATAGTGTTTGGCATCATCTAAAGGGTGGGTTCCCCTCTCCATCCTGCTTGGTTGGCCGCACGCATTAATTATGTCTGAGGGACTAGTATGTGCAATTGATCCCTGAGAAAAAGGAGCTCGATTTGGTTGTGTGGGGGAATCCCCTGCAGGGAGTTCCCTTATATACCCACAGCCTGCAGAAAGCAGGATTGAACCCATCCCAGTGCTGTGTGCAGAGTTCAATCCTGCTCGCTATCTTCCCCCACATCTGTAGCCCAACTTTGACAGATGGGTGTGACCAGCCACCTGTCAATCAACTGGCATCGTCTGCCTGTGAGATGATTGATGGGTGGGTGTCATGGTTGGCTGGATGCAGGTGACAAAGATCTGGCTTCCCAGGTCAAAAAAGTTTACCTAATTCTGGGCTATGGAAACAAACTGTACCTTTTCATCTGATAGTCCTGGATTGTTGGTTGTTTAAACAATTAAAAACACACCAGGGTTAAGTTACATCAACCTACCAGACCTGCAACTGATTTTCTTGTCGCTGCTGATGAAAGGCATCCTGAAATTATGAACTGGAGAGAGAGAAACCGAAAACAGTAGACAGTAAGAAGTATGTTACTTACATTATCAGGCTCTTTAAAACAGAAACAAACAAAAACCGCCCTCCATTTAGACCAGTGGTGTCCAAACTTTTTTCAAAGAGGGCCAGATTTGATGAAGTGAAGGGCCATGAGGGCCCACCAAAGGGCCAACCAAAGTTGTTGATTAAACAGGGGCAGGATTAGGCCCCTGAAACGGATTTTGGACATGCCTGACTTAGAGATTTCTACATATCTAATACCATTCAACACTGCCTTTCCACCCAATTTTGGGTCAAGTGCAACACAATCCTATGCATGCCTACTCAGAAGTAATTCGCAGTACGCTTCAAAATACCCTGTTAAATATTCACTTTGCACGAAAGGTTTCAGAAGTAAAGGAATGTGTTTGGAATGGTGGCAAGTGTGACCTGGTTTTATACCATTCTGGGACAAAACCATTTAAAAAATATCTACACTCATAACATCTCATTTTTCTTTTTCTTTTAGCAATATGAAAATTTGCTTCATTATTAATCAAGCTATACTTTTCAAAGGGCTTTACCTCAGTTTTCTCATTGAGTCTTATGACAGTCCTTTGAGGCAAAGGCATTAGTATTCCTAATTAACCGATGGGGGACAGAGGATGCCTCCAGGCTGTCAGTATTTTGTGAGAGTGATTCTATCGCATACCAGAACTTTTGAGTTTGGGCACTGAAAGTGGAAAGCTGTGCTGCCTAGTGCGATACCCACTTTTGCTGTTTGGAAACTGATGAAGAAATTCACGGAAATGTTTGGGATGAACAAACGACTAGCGAGGAAGACATGTAAACACTCTGCAAGCAAGTCAGGGTGAACCTGGGATTGTCATTGTTATCCAACAACTGGTGTATGCCAGTGTTTCTCAAACATTGGTTTGGGACCCACCAGCGGGTCTTGGGCCACTTTCATGGGGGCCTCTCTCTTCTATGGAGAGACAGCCAGTTGAAGGAAATAAAAGAGTGAAATAAATTGTTGTTCTTGAGAATAACTGAGAATAGAAAGGAAGGGCATAAAAAGGGGAAACTGTTATAGGTGGAAGAACTGGGTGTTAAAGGGTCGGGGATCAAAAAAATAGGAGAAATCAGGTACAAATGGAGTGTGAAAGGAGAACAGGAGAATATATTACAGGAGATGGATAAAATGCTTTGAGGGTCACACAGGGGTGTGTGAAGGGAGAAGTACATCAGAAAGAGGAGTATATCAGAAAAAGAGCTCCAGAGCCAATGTATGTACTTATCTTGAGGAAAGATGATCTATGGAACATCTTGCCACAATGCTGTGACAAAGAATGCAGCAATTTCCAAAGATGGATCTGATATCAGTAGAAAATGTTAGTAACTGTCATGGGTGTAGCCAGGATTTTTGTTAAGGGGATGGACAGGCCTTTTGTTGCGGGGGGAGGGGGGGAGCTCAGCTATGCATTTTTATTGATTTTTATCAATGGGGGGGGGGAGCTGTCCCTCCCTGCCCATCTTTGGCTATGTCCATGGTAACTGCTGATTATGCCAAGCTCTCCCTGTATCGGCCGCCATCTTGTGAATGGTTTTCTGAATGGTGGACCTCAATAGCTTTTAGCCATCTCAAGTAGGCCCTGGAAGCAGAAAGTTTGAAAACCCCTGCTGGCATAAGCAAATCAGGATGAATGCTCAATAAATAATTGCTTGAAGGGGCGATGAATGATTTGTCCCCCAAAAGGAATTTGACACAGACAACACTATTCTATAGCCACACTCTCTTCAAGAAAACATGATATTGCGATGAATCAACAACAATACTATTCATTCTACTTACAAGGGCACCCCCCCAGAAGGGATACCAGACAGTCATGATCCATGTGTCACAATCCTTTGATGAAAAGAGCAAAATGCCTCCAAGACCAAGATGTATCAGAGCAATAGCCACCTGCATAGCCTTTAGGAAGATGACAAAATTAGAAAAAGATTAAACAAAACAGCTGGCTTAGAGACCACGCTATATGCACACTATTAACTGAACTTCACAAGCCCCATATAATCCATATTCTCCTCCTCAAAACCACAGCACTATCATAAAATCACAAATGACTATACAGTATAGAACAGTGGGGGGAACCTTTCCACATTGATGGACCTGTGAGAATACGTAGAATTTAATAAACGAAAGCTACCACCAATGTTTCAAAGGGAAGGGCATATTCAGTGTTCTTTTCCCTCCCATTCTCTATTACAACACACACCAGAATCTAAATAGCCTTAATGAAATGAAATTGTCTTTAAATCTCAGCACAACACACATGAGAGTTCAAGTTGATTAATCATACAGTTAAATCTGTGAAAGAGACACCTCACTACAAAGCTTTCTCAGCAGAAAGAGAACCCACTGTTTCTTAAAAATTGATTTATACTCTTCTTCTGCCACCTTAGAAGGAAAAAGGAAAGTCTCCTGGCAGAGCGCTCTGGATTGAGATTGAGTTTGAGACTTGGAGTGTGGCCCTTATCTGCAGCCAGAAGGAGGAAAATTGCAATCCATCTAAGGCTGGATCTACACCCACATTTTAAACATTATTAAACATTCAGTTCACTTTAATTTAAACATGAAGGCGTTGGTTTCCTTTTCCACAAGGTCTACCTGGTTTTTAGAAGGGGGTAGCTCTGCAATGCTCTCACATTTTAATAACACATTATTAATGTTTAGAAAGAACGTCATATGGCTATACGCAGTGCTTTTTTCTCTTAAAAAATGTTTAGGGGTACTTTCATTTTGTCTCAAGAAAACCACCATTTTATAGATCAAATTGGGAAAAATAAATACAGTAAATGGACACAAGTACAAAGATTCACAAAATGTTTAGGGGTATGCGTAACCCTGCGTCCCATCAGAAAAAAGCACCGGCTATATGGTTATCAGAAACTCATTTTTAATGTTAGTGTTTAGAGTATAGATCCGCCCTAAGAGAAGAAGGATGGTGCTAAAGAGGCCCAGGGATCCCACAGAGATACAAAAATTAAACAAGTACTTGTCATAGCACCCTCTGCAAAAATTGGGGAAACCAAAATTGAGAGAAAATGCTGGGAATCCTTCTGCCCTTGATGGAACTACTAGTTACTTGGTTAGCATACCGTTATATAGACCATATCTTACATTGGCCCAAGAGGGTGAATCCTGAAAGGAAGGGTCATAGCTCAGTGGTAGAGTTCAAACACTGCCTGCTGGAAGTCCCAGGCTCAATCCCCCAGCAGCTCCAGTCACGGCTGGAAAAGACTAGAGAGCTACTGCCCCTCCGTGTAGACAATACTGAGCCTGATGGATCAATAGACACAGTGCAAGGCAGCTTCTTATGTTCCTGAGATGATGTTTGTATATATTTTTCTATGGTGTTTTGTACCCATATGCCACATTCACAGCCTTCCCCTTAGCATAGCCCAAGCATACAGGTATTTAGGGAAAATGCAATCTTACCCCCAGAGCATCATTTTCCTCTGGGAGTTTCTTCTGTCCTGCACCAACATGGCTTGGAGGGACAACCACCACAACGTTGCCAGGGTAAGGTGCTTGTGGAGCCAGTCTGTATTGATCCATTCTGCAGATAAATCAATAGTGAGAAATTATGGCTGCAGTGTTGCATGCACTTCAATCCTTTCTGCAGCAGGGCTCTTCGTTCCTGCTTAGGCATTGCCTCCGCTCAGAATAAGTTATTAAAATGTAAAATTAAACGAGACAGCCTAGCAAAAGCACTTATACCAACAGGTGGCCAGGTCGAGGCCACATGAAAGCAGTTTTAAAAGCTTCTTGATATCATATATTCCAGTGCAATCGTATTACAGCATGCTGCTGAGGAGTGAAAAATATGCCACTCTTTCACCTGCCTTCTGGCGTCAAGGGGATGGCTTATTCTAGCCAAAGCTAAGCACATTTTTAAGTTCATCACAATCACGTTAAGGCTGCACCACAACTTTGTGGGTAGTTCTCTAGTTACACACCGCTACGTTTCCTCTAGCAGATACACCGTCTGTTCCCACCCAACTTCCTGTGAAATAAATTCACTGTAAATGGTCTATCGTGGGACCAGAGCCACTGTAAGACATTGCTGTCCCCAATTCCTATTTCTGTCCAAGGAAGAAACCATGGCCAATTGCATCCAAAGTTGCAGAGAGACTGAGAAGCAGGAGCAAACTCCCACTTCCTTTGTCTTCCACACTCCGAAAGCCTCCTGAAGCTGTACTATTCTTCCATCTCATAAAAATCGCTTCCTGCTCATTTCCTCCTTATACTTCCTAGTATTTAAAAAGTGACACCCTATAGCTTTTGATATAGGTTAAGAATGGAATGGAAGCAACAGCATTTTATGAGATAAAAATAAGTCAGGCTTTTTCTCCTGGTTGCAGAAAAGAAGCCGTCTGAGAACACACTGATCCATTTCAAACTGTGTGTGTTTTATAGCACTAAAGATTCAGAAAAAGCATTATTTTGCTTTCCAGAACAGTAGCTCAACAGTTTTGTTCTGTTGTAATAATACAAAATAACTGTATAGTTCTTTGAGAGCAACACTCTCAAACCCACTTACTTACTTCCAAGAAAACATGCATAGGATTCAGACTTTTAATCCAATACAGCACTGGTTAATCCAGAACACTTGTGATCCACTTGAAAGCCTATATTGGCATTAAATTCATATATCATCACTATCACCATCTCTGACACTGCCTATGCAGCTGCATTTGATGTATCAATGTGGAGTCACCCTCGCTTGCCCAAGCATTCTTACCGTGGATAGAAAAGAGAGCCAGGTGTAGTCTCTATAGATGGCACTTCTGCTTCGAGCTGACTGAGGAGGGCTTAAAGAAAACAGGTGGCTGTGGTGAAAGGGATACTGTGTTTGGGAACTGCAGAAGAATGAAGAACAGGCCTGCAGAATGGAGCTACGCAGCTACATCCTTTTCAGACTTAGCTTCCTCCCCTTAGCTAGCGCATAGCCAATTATGTTGTGGTTATATGTGGTCACCTGATTTCTGAGAAATGTCAGCAAGCAAATAAGAGAATTTCGGTTTCTAGAAACCGAAAGAAAAGGCATTTGATGAGGTGAAACACAACATGTTTTCAGCAGCGCCCTAAATACCCCATCTAACTTGCCAGTGCCAAGATCTCCCTAGGACAACCCAACCTCTGAGGGGTGTTGCACGACACCCCAGTCTCCCAGTGGTGCAAGATTCCAGGGGTTCCAGACAGTCTTAGCCACGGTCCATGTTTTCTTTTGGAAATGAGGCACAATGGAGACTGTGGTGTCTTTCTGAGGCTCACAGCATTAACATTCCAAGAGGGTCTTGCTTCTCCCATAGCAGCTGCCTTTTATGAGGCTTATAGGTTAGAGCTATGGCTTACCGATGAGAAAGGATGCTTGTATAATTCCTTTTATTAGACTCTGCCCAGAAGAGAGTTTTCTCTTCGTAGTCCCTGGAAGATGAATCTGTATAAGTTCACATCAGCCCCAGGAACATAGACAGAAGTGGCTCAGAGGAAGCAAAAATTGTTTTACTATAATTGAGGCCTCAGAATGTTGGCAAGGCAGAGCAGGGCAGAGACATGTACCATGGACTCCAAATGTGGTATTTTAAGAATTAGAAGATAGCACCACTCAGTTATTTTTATCTGAAAAGGGAATTCTGAATGGCAAGGAAATTAATGGCTTGCAGGCAATTGTATTTTTGTTACAGAATAATGAGTTTGTTCTTCAACTTCATTTCCATTTCCATGCTCTCATCTGTATAACTTTAAATCACCATTATTACCATTAGAGTAGTGTGAGCTATTACTGTGTGGTGCCAGAGGTGTCTGTCCCTCTCTTTGGGCTGCATTGAGATAGAAATGTGTGGACATCACAAGATCACATTGTTATAATAACAACAATAACAGTTATTTATTATTTATACCCCGTCCATCTGGCTGGGTTTCTGGGCGGCTCCAACAGAATTAATGATAATAATAATAATAATATAAAAAGCGATAAAACATCAGACATCAAAAACTTCCCTAGGATAGGTTCTTGGTTTACAAGACATTTAGAAAAACAACACAGGACCAGGGGGAAAACACCTTTTTTATTAGGACCAACCAAAGTTCACAGTGAGGTATGCAAAGTTTCAGATTTCATAGAACTCTTCCTTAGGCTGGTGTTTGAAACTAAACTTAATAGAGATATTTTTTTAAAAGGATGATATTTCTTGGTGAGAACATAGTGTCTGCTGTTTGTTTCAAGATTAAGAGAGTAATGACAGAAGTTATTACAACCAAAAAGTTTAGAATGGTATTCTATGCGAAAGAGGAAGGACGACACAGAGCTATGCTGGAACTTGTCATTGGAAATACAAAAGAAGCAATTAGATAATGGAAATTATATATGACATTTAAAGGTAAAGGACCCCTGACTCAAAGAGTTGCAGCTCTCTGTTTGACTTCAATGGAACTGAGGAAATGCCAGGCAACCATTCCATTCCATTAATGCCTCAGGAGGCAATGGGCTGTGAAGGAAAACAGAAGCTCAGGTTCTTCTCATAAGCAGTCAGCAGTCAGCCTTGCTCTACCAGCCTTTTTGCATCTCCTCCTCCCTTCCCCCTTCATGTCTGATTTAAATGCTAGAGCCTGCCTAAAAATGCCTTGTCTGTGGCCACCACACCATGGGTGTAACCTTTAAGCATATTTACTTCCCAAACAGGGCCATTGTACTGAGAGGGGGATATACATCTACATTTTCCTTCCTTCCTTCCTTCCTTCCTTCCTTCCTTCCTTCCTTCCTTCCTTCCTTGTAAGTCAATTGGGCTCTTATAAAGAAAGTTATAAAGGAAAATGTGCAGGCAAGCCTTAACCTTCTAAGTCAGATAGGTCAGCCTAGACTGTTTTTCTTTTTCAATCTCTGTAGGGTTTCCCCCCTACAGAAATGCAGCAGTACAGTGCAGTCCCCCACCTGTGTTCACAGTTAATCAAATTTTATTATATTTCATCACTTGTATGAGTCTGGGATGTGATGGTGTTTGGTGCAGGGCATTAGTGACCAAAATAGCATGTGCCTCTATCACTGTCTCCAGCCTCCTCTTCTCCAAGTCACGAATCTCTGACCTTGCTATTTCCTACATCACTTGGCACCCGCTTCCTCCCGTAATAGAAGACTAGCAAACTTACCGCATCCTAATCAGCAGTGGTCTATCTACGACACACAGCTTTGCATCCAAAGGCTGCCATGGAGTTGCAAATAAAGAATCCTAGGGAAGTTAAAACCAGGAGATTGCTATGCGTGACTGTACAACACTCCTGCAAAATAGAGCATGAGACAGTGAATGAGATGGTCGTTCTGTTACTCTCTGCTCAAAGGAGAGCCTTATTGACAGCTGACTCTGAGGTACAGTACATTTACTTAGATGTGAGTCCCATTGATTTTAAGGTATTGGAAGCACAGGTCTGCAGGCCTTGCAATTCTAGATCATAGGAACAACATAGGAAACCATGGTTCATCTAGTTTAATATTGTTTACATTGACTGGCAGAGTCACTCCAGGGATTCAATGTAGGGAAAAAATCACACAGAAGCATATTGCAGCCAGAAAAGGCAAAAGAAACAAAAAACATATGGCAAAGTAGCCGAGGCTCATGCAGCTTCTGTGGCTGAAGATATTCATACAGTACAGACTTAAACAGTACAATTCCAGGGAAGCTGAAAAGTGCAATTCTGGAGGGGAGCTAGGCATCTCTATAGGAGAATTCCTAGGACAGTGGTACCTCGGGTTACATACGCTTCAGGTTACATACGCTTCAGGTCATAGACTCCGCTAACCCAGAAATAGTGCTTCAGGTTAAGAACTTTGCTTCAGGATGAGAACAGAAATCCTGCTCCGGCGGCGCGGCGGCAGCAGGAGGCCCCATTGGCTAAAGTGGTGCTTCAGGTTAAGAACAGTTTCAGGTTAAGAACGGACCTCCAGAACAAATTAAGTACGTAACCAGAGGTACCACTGTATGGCTGCTTCCAGATGGGTGGTTCCTAGTGCTACTCTATTTCTTTTCCATTGTAAGCTACCAGCAGAGTTGTAAATGACAGCATCAGGAGCACTGCATTTTTTCTAGGTGTGCATCCTGCTTTGTTATGTTCACACCAGTAGGCACAGCATGACATATCTGCTATGGGTGGGACATTTGCAGCTCAGCACATGTGCATTGCAATCCTTGCAGTGGGTGACATTCTATGACCCCGTTTTACTTTTTTTAAAAAAATCAATCTTTTAATTGTTGCAAAATTATTTTCAGGACTTCTAAACAGAGGTATAATGCTACAACACCATATTACTATAATGCTGTAGTGTTATAAGACTATACTTAAATAAAAGAACAAAACCAGGGTTATAAAATTGTGCTCACCACAAATGTTATAAGGAATGTATGAAGAATGGTGATAGGTTCACTTTCCCTATACTTCGGTGCCTATCTTCTGAAAAAAGCCAGACTTTCTGTGGTTTGAGAATAAATGAAACAAGCAAAAGGAAAATACAGGGCAACAGCACCTTATGGGCGCACTGTAAAAAAATGAATGCAGTATGGCAATTCCACACTAGGGTCTCATCTGCACCACCACTGAATACCTGCAAAGTCGACCTCTGAACTTCCATACCTATCTGGCTTGTTCACTGTTCCCATGAATCGTTCTACAAGGCCCACACATCTGTTTACTTTTTGTGGTGCATTTTGTGTAACATTGCCTGGTTCAAATATCCTGTTCGTGACTTTGTATGAGCAACCCATAAAGCCCCCAAGAATATTCCACCCTGCACCATTTCTGGTGGAAAGAAGGGAAATTCATGCACTGTGCTGAGGTGCTTCTTTTCTTTTCTTTTTTGTATTTCTGGTGTTTCATCACATTATTTCTTCATTCTTACTAGACTATGTTGCATCTTGCTGCTTTAAGTGCCTTATGGCAAGTACCCACCCACCAATGGGAGGAAAGGAATAAGAGTAAAAGAAATAGGGAAAGCTTTTTTCAGGCTGAAGGAGAAGGGAGAGAGGACCAGGCTTTGGGCTTGTTGGCATGCTAGACTATACAGAGGTACCTTGCGTTACAGGTGCTTCAGGTTACAGACTCCGCTAACCCAGAAATAGTACCTCAGGTTAAGAACTTTTCCTCAGGATGAGAACAGAAATCGTGCGGCGGCAGCATGGCGGCAGTGGGAGGTGCCATTAGCTAAAGTGGTACCTCAGGTTAAGAACAGTTTCAGCTTAAGAATGGACCTCCAGAACAAATTAAGTTCTCAACCTGAGGTACCACTGTAGTTTGGAGAAAACTGATATACCACCCAGGTAGTAGAAATATCATATAGTTCCTAGCATGAGAGAGAAATGTCAGATTGAACAATAGGAGTCCAACAAGTCACTACAATTGGAATTGAGTAGGTACAGTGGTACCTTGGTTCTCAAATGCCTTGGTACTCAAACAACTTGGAACCCAAACACTGCAAACCCAGAAGTGTTCCGGTTTGCAATCTTTTTTCAGAAGCCGAACATGCTGTTTTGAGTGTTATGCTTCCAATTTGAGTGCCACACTTCCATTTTGAGTGTTACACTCAGGTCTGTTGTTTTTGCTATTTATTTTGCATTTTTGTTTTTGCAACCTTTTTTGTTTTGTTTTTGTGAGTGTGTGGAACCCAGTTCAGCTACTGACTGGATTGTGTGACTGCAGTACATTGTTTATTGCTTTCATTTTATGGATCAATGGTCTCACTGGATAATAAAAGTCATGTTAACTTGTCGTTTTAGGGGTTGTTTTTAAAAGTCTGGAATGGATGAATCCATGTTGCATTAATTTCTATGGGAAAGTGTGCCTTGGTTTTGGAATGCTTTGGTTTTGGAACGGACTTCTGGAACAGATTAAGTTCAAGGACCACTGTAGTGCACTTGCACCTAGATGCTTTGACCCCAGAAAATGAATTTTCTTCTTGGAGAATTAACTTGTGGGTGTGCACATGCTATTTATTGTATGCATCTAAACAAGAGAGGGTACCCAGCATTATACTGGCAATTAATAACTCCCTACCCACCACCCCTCTGATGCAGCTTCCACATCTGTATGTCAGTAGCACTGTTTATTCTAAAGTAGTTTTCATGGAGGAAACAGAGACCTAGCTTGTGGTGGCGCTGTGGGTAAAAGCCTCAGCGCCTAGGGCTTGCCGATCGAAAGGTCGGCGGTTCGAATCCCCGTGGCAGGGTGCGCTCCCGTTGTTCGGTCCCAGCGCCTGCCAACCTAGCAGTTCGAAAGCACCCCCGGGTGCAAGTAGATAAATAGGGACCGCTTACTGGCGGGAAGGTAAACGGCGTTCCGTGTGCTGCGCTGGCTCGTCAGAGCAGCGATGTCACGCTGGCCACGTGACCCGGAAGTGTCTGCGGACAGCGCTGGCTCCCGGCCTATAGAGTGAGATGAGCGCACAACCCTAGAGTCTGTCAAGACTGGCCCGTACGGGCAGGGGTACCTTTACCTTACCCACCACCCCTCTGATGCAGCTTCCACATCTGTATGTCAGTAGCACTGTTTATTCTAAAGTAGTTTTCATGGAGGAAACAGAGACCTAGCTTGGACCCAGGAAGTACTCACTGCAAGTTCTACTGCACCTCAAGTTCCCATAACAGGGACTGAACAGTATGTCTTCCAAGTAGAAAACATTGATCACAGCCACCACTATTGTGCAGGTAATGTAGATCAGTGTTTCCCAACCTTTTTTGGGCAAAGGCACACTTGTTTCATGAAAAAAATCTTGAGGCACACCACCATTACAGCCCCGTGACGTCAGCGCGCAGCGTCACGCCGGGAGGGATGCACGAAAGTGTAAGTTTCAATTTTTCCCCCTCCCCCTTGCCTTCCTTCTGTGCCAACCGCCAAAAAGCCAAGACTTTAGGGCAGCAGGTCGACACGGAAGAAGCTCCTACCTAAGGACAGGTGCGACGGCCGTGTCCTCTTCTGCCACACTTGGCAGCCCTGCCTCACGGTCGTGACTCCCACCCTGATTTCTCCCCGCAGGTCGAGCGGCACAGGCAGCCCAATGTGTCCAGCCCAGACACAAGCCCCGCTTTCCCACTCTAGATCCTGAATGCGACCAAGTGCTCTGGACTCCCGAGCAGGGTGGGAAAGAGGACTCGCATCTGGTAGCCTCCAGGCTCCTCGCCTGCTCGAGGGATGGCATTGCAGGCAAGCTGCCGGCCGTCGCCATCGCCGCCCCCTCATGCGAGTGGACCTGCCCGGAGTGGTGGGCCGGGGGAGGCTCGCTCTCTGTGGGGATGTGGCCCGCACGCGCGGCCCCGCTTCCTCCTGCCCAGGGCTGAGCTCCTTACCCGCGATCTCGGTCTCACGCACGCGGATCCCACTTATTCTGAAGCTCGCGCCACTAGCCGGGGCTCTCACACCGCCAGGGCGCGGCGGCGCGGCCCACTGACGTCATCGCGGCTCGCCGCCGCCCTCGACTTCCCTGTTCCCTCCCCTCCCTCGGGTCGCCGTGGTTACCGAGGACTGCAAGCTGCTCGGGCGAGCGTGGGGCATTAAGTGGGAGAAGGAAAATTAAAATTAAAACTCGCCTGAAGGCCGCCTCTCCGGATATCTTTCGAATTTTTTAATTTTTCCCGCGGCACACCAGGCAACGTCTCGCGGCACACTAGTGTGCCGCGGAACACCGGTTGGGAAACACTGATGTAGATGACAAGACAGGCTCTCACCTGAAAGAGAAGGGCGAATGGTGCCCCTTCTAGGAATGTGGTTACCCAAGAACTTTATTGACTCCCGCCCACCCCCACCAGACCTATGTGTGGCCTGAGTGAAGCAGTACTGCCACACAGTGGCAATGCTGGTGCAGAGCAAGCCAAGAAGGAAGCGCAGGCAGGGATTTCTGCTGCTGGCACAGGGCGTGTTCCCAGCGCCCAGCGCCGGTGCTTTTCTGCCCAGCGTAAAAAGAGGTTCCACCATGGGTGGTGGGTCAGCACCAGCGGAGCAACACCAAAGGGCACGGGTCCTTTACCTTTTGCCTTTACCTACCCTATAGTTCCTTGAGAAATACTGCTATTGGATGCCTTCTTCCCCTCAAACTAGCTTCCATCCGAAGGTAAGGCACATTCGTGTCACAATTAAGCAGAGGAGTACACCTTTGAGATAGTCATTGCATATGCACATCAAAAGCAGAGTAAGTTGGGACAAGGAACTTCCTTGTCACAGGCAATCCTGCTGTTATTATTCTGTGCCTCTCTGCTGCCACCTGTTCCTCAAGCTGTTTATCCAAAGTAACCTCAGATGACACATTTTGTGGTTTGGAAGCATAAAATTAAACCGCTTACTCAGAGTGGTTTTGTTTTATTTACAATGATAGAGAAAATAGGGGGTTTGCTTTATTTCTTATGAAAGACATTTGAACAAGAGAAGGAAGTGAGATAGCAACAGACAGGCAGAAAGGGATGGGTGAGGAGTGATTTGCAAATCCTCTCCTGTAGCACCAGTAACTTCTATTCCTGAGGCTTCTCAAAGCATTAGCGTGTTGCTGTTTTTCTTCAGCTGGTCTTCACAGGGGGGAAGGCTCATTTTAAAGTGAGAAAGGACTGCAGAGGAACAGCATTCCCACCCTACCAATATCTCCCCACTGCTACCCCACAGTAGTGTTGCATGACAAAGGCAGGTTGGGAACTCCTCTTATTAGTCCCCCTAATTTGTAGTTATTCTGTCCTGATTAGCTGACTCAGAGGAAGAGGGCAGCAAGCTAGGAACTTAAACAGTTTACAAGAGAAAGTGGCCATGTTTCTTTCTTGTGGCAAAGATCCTGTGGGTCTGCCTATCTTCCAGCTTGCATATCTAAAGAAGCATACACATGATTACATAGAAATATGAGTGGGTGGTGTAAAATTCATAATGACCTCCAAAAAGGGGTGGGAAAATCTGTCAATTTTTATTTCTTTCCATTTCACTTTTTCCAAATACAGTGGTACCTTGGGTTAAGAACTTAATTCGTTCTGGAGGTCTGTTCTTAACCTGAAACTGTTCTTAACCTGAAGCACCACTTTAGCTAATGGGGCCTCCTGCTGCCACTGCACTGCCGCCACGTGATTTCTGTTCTCATCCTGAAGCAAAGATCTTAACCAGAGGTACTATTTCTGGGTTAGCGGAGTCTGTAACCTGAAGCATCTAACCTGAGGTACCACTGTATTTAAATCAGTATGCAAAAAAAAAAAAAAAAGATCCCCATGAAAACCTATCAGCATGTTAGTGCAAATTTCTCCTAATATACACAGATTTGTATGCAATTTCCCCATCTAGACACAGTTTTCATAGCACAATTTCCCCCAATATACTTTTTTTGCATGTTATTTTCACTCATATATGCAGTATTATGCACAAATTACTTCACTGGAGAACCACATTGCAAAATTTGGACAAGAGTGAATTTCAAAGGAAAATATGAATTTGTATAAGGATAATTATGAAAAATGTTGGTCAGAGATTAAAAAAGATCTAGAAATATGGTCAAATTTGAAATTGTCAATGTTAGGCCGAATTGCAGTGATTAAAATGAATGTATTGCCTAGAATGTTATTTTTGTTTCAGACCTTGCAGATTCTTGACAAGATGGAATGTTTTAAGAGGTGGCAGAAAGATATTTCGAAATTTGTCTGGCAGGGCAAAAAGCCCAGAATCAAATTTAAAATATTGACAGACGCTAAAGAAAGAGGGGGTTTTGCCCTGCCGGACTTAAAATTGTACTATGAGGCAGCAGCTTTTTGCTGGCTGAAAGAATGGATGCTCCTCGAGAACACAGACATCTTGGATCTGGAAGGTTTTAACAATGTTTTTGGTTGGCATGCATATCTATGGTATGACAAAATCAAGCTGCATAGTGCCTTTAAAAATCACATTGTTAGAAAAGCATTGTTTAATGTATGGATAAGATATAAAGATCTGTTGGAAAACAAAACCCCTAGATGGGTGTCACCAGTCGAGGCTAAAGCAGTAAAGAAACTCAATATGGAGGTTGGATGGCCGAAGTATTGGGAAATCTTGGAACAGGATGGAGATAAGTGGAAATTACAAAGTTATGAGAAATTGAAACATAAAGTACAAAATTGGCTTCAATATCATCAAATAATGGAGCTTTTCAAACAGGATAGGAAAATTGGCTTTCAGGTGGAAAAATCAAAACTAGAGACTGAACTGTTAGAACCCAATACTAAGAATCTATCAAGAATGTATAACTTGTTGCTGAAATGGAATACACAGGATGAAACGGTGAAATCAGCTATGATTAAATGGGCACAAGATATTGGTCATGACATTATGTTTGCTGACTGGGAACAGTTATGGACCACCGGTGTTAAGTTTACGGCATGTAATGCCTTAAGAGAAAACATAATGAAAATGATTTACAGGTGGTACATGACCCCAGTCAAGCTTGCAAAAATTTACCATTTGCCCGATAACAAATGTTGGAAATGTAAAGAGACTGAAGGTACCTTCTATCACCTTTGGTGGACATGCCCGAAGATTAAGGCTTTCTGGGAAATGATCTATAATGAAATGAAAAAGGTACTTAAAAGTACTTTCCTTAAAAAACCAGAGGCCTTTCTCTTAGGCATCGTCGGCCAATTGGTGCCAAAGAGGGATAGAACTTTTTTTATGTACGCTACAACAGCAGCAAGAATACTTATCGCAAAGTATTGGAAGACACAAGATCTACCCACTCTGGAAGAATGGCAGATGAAAGTGATGGACTATATGTCACTGGCCGAGATGACAGGCAGAATCCGTGACCAAGGAAAAGAGGCGGTGGAAGAAGAATGGAGAAAATTCAAAAGTTATCTTAAGGACTATTATAAACTTGATGAATGCTAGAATGTTATGGTTTTTAGAAACAAAGGGATACAGTGATATAAGGTCAGATTATAGAGATAACTAAGGACAGAGGTTGGAAAGTAACATTGGGAGTTGCTATAAAACTATGGACATTGGGATGCAGAAAGGGGGGGGTATGGGGGAGTCTCAGAAAAGAGGTTTATGAAAAACATTATGAAATTATACGTGTTTGTATGTCTTTTAAGTGTTTGTTTGTTTTTAAAATTTTGTAAAACCAATAAAAAAAAATTTTTTTTTTAAAAAAAGAGTGAATTTCAAAGGATGGCGCTGCTTCAGAACTCGTATAATTTCAGGAAGTGTGAATTTGGTAGGTTCACCTTTAAATGCAAACTGAATCACATTTCTCTCATTACTTTCCAATTTCGAAAAGGTCCTAAGGTCTTTCACAGGCACCACTAGGCAAGCAATTCCTAGAGAGCAGAGGAATACATCCATGGGCCTGCCCTTCCATTTTTGTTTTTAACTCTCCACTTCAAATCCCTTGTGTACAGTTTTTAATAAAATACCACCACACTTTTGTGTTTTTGCACTGTCAATCATTTATTTGTTAAACAGCTGAATCTTCGGAGAGAAGCCATTTGCCCACTAGCTGCTGGCTGCTCTCCTGTCAGGTCTCTTGGAGATAGCTCTGGATTTGCCAGTGGAAACAACAGCTACTGAGCCAGTTGCTGCAGGTGCCATGGCAACGGCACTAACTTCCACCAAAGCTGCACGGATGGTCTTCATGCGATATCCACGACGGGACCGTCTGCTGGAGCAGTAGCAGCCCATAATCGATAGAAATATAATGAAGGCACAGGTAGTTATTATGACCATGGTGGCAATGGAGAAGGGGAAATGGAGGAAGAACCCTATTGGCAGAAGGGAGGGAAAAGAGGAGTATCAACAGAGGCAGTTCACAGAGATGTTATAAAGCTGGTTGTTCCTTACTTCATCCACATCACAGAACTATTTGTACTTCAAATTTTAGAAAGGCACTGTGCAATAAAATACAGAGCTTACTGGGTGTCAAGGCTTTTAGACCTACAGGCCTCCAGTCTCAAAGTAACTGGCTGTTGCTTTTCAGTGACAAGGAAAGTATACTCGGTTGATGCCAAAAGGCACTTTTGCTGGGGGCAAATACAGGTTTTGGATCTGAGCCCAGGCTCAAATCAAGCCTTACAGAAAGGGGACATCATCTACTGCATCAATAACAGGCCCTTCTCCACATAGCAGTTTATTGTGGAGTTGGTGCTGTTCACACCTAGTTGTCCTTCACCATGTCTACACAAAATAATGCCATCCCATATGGCCCAAGTGACAGAACCTTGTTCAAATCTCAAGGAATTCTTAGGTGACAAACTGAAGGGCCTGTCCCCCTGCTATAAAATGCAAGAGGGCTATTTTTTTATTCCATCTTATTTCACTCCTAAATATTATGGCCAAAAATATGCCAGGATTTTCTGCAGCTCAATTTGGTTGTTTGATGTTAACGTACATAATTAGTCTTGTCAGTTTAAGTCATTGCTGTGCTGAAAAATTTATCATTGTGTTTGGACCATTCTCTATTAATTCTGGAGCTCTTACCAGATCCTTCCTTCACTCTCTCCCTCACGATAATAGTCACCCTCTGGTTAGCAGGCAACTCAGCAGCCTGGGGAGCCTTGAGTGTGGCATAGCTGGTCACCACAGACATCAGCTCAGAAGTGCTGAAGTCATTCAGTGTGGAGGAGCTGTTTGTTGGCTTTCCTTTCAGTGCAAGGGGACCAAGCTTGAGGTTGGCTTCTCCAGACAATCCTGCAAGGAGGAAGCACAAATCAAAGGCTCACGAATCCAGACCTTCTCGCCCATTTGTTGTCACCCCACTGCCTTAACACAGTATTTTAAGCCTTCTCTGTACAGCTCTTGTATAGAAATGAACAGGGCAAGCTGTTTTAACTCCCCTCCAAATATAGGACATGGTTGGAGATGTTGTTCCCAGCATTTATGGTGAAATGAGATAGTGAAGCCATACAAGTTACAAATAAGTGGCTGTTTCTGTTTGGGTGCCAAACGGAGCCAGTTGACCAGCGGAAGTCAACATGGTGTCCTTCAGATGTAGACTACAATTTCTATCCATCCCTGACCACTGACCATTGTGACTTGGGAATACTGGAAGTTGGAGTCCAACTGCATCTCTGCAGTAGGCAGTCATTCTTTTGAACCTTTTGATTAGCAGGTACATAAAGTCAATGATTACAAAATAGGTTTTAGGGAGAGGATTTCACCTTTCTTCTGCTGTTGCCTTCTCTTCCTCTTCTTGCTCTCACATCCACTAGGAGAACCACAACAGGCGCAATCTCCTCCTTCATAGGAACTCCATGATGCAGTAGTGAGGTCATAGGAGCATGCCTTGTTGCGAGGGTCCGCAGAGCCAACAGGCACCGCCTTCAAGTGACATATGAGGTAGATCTAGGCAATCAAATTAGGTTGTACATTAGGTTGTGACTCTGTCCCTAGCATTTGTAGGCTAGGGAGGACCTTGCAAAACTAAATCTGACACACACAAGGGCAGGTTCATCAACCCAGTGGCAGAGTGCAAATGCCTGGCATGGAGACTCAAAGACTCTCACCAGCACTGCCAAAACTAGGATGTGCCATTCAAGTCCCTTGTGAGATAAATGGGGGGGGGGGGACAACATGGCTCATGGGCCCTCACAGGATGGGAAAATTGGAAGGCTAACAGAAGGATGCCCTCATCACTCACGCAGACTCATTGACTTGAGGCAATGTCTCATCCATAAAGTTGACATTAGATTTTCCACATGCTTACTAACTCCACTGTCCCCCCCAAACAGCAGTTGACCATAAAACTAGTGTAGTACTAGTCCCATATCAGAGGTTCAGTTCCCTCCCCCCCCTTCCCCCTCAACCTGGTGGTTGGAGGCCCCAATGAAGGTGAATGTGTCCAGCTGGAGGCGGCGGATTCCATCTTCCTGCGTGGGGAGGAAACGGGAGTTGCTTTGCTGCCCATCTACAAGGCACCTGCAATACAGACAGAAGCAGGCATGAATGATCCAGTTTCCTCCATCCTATTACTGGCATGAGTGCCACACTCATGGCAGAGCTGGTCAATTTCTAAACAAGCTAAACATCTATCTTTCAAGGAAAAAGAAGCGAATGTACTCTTATTTCAACAGGCATGTAGTGTTTAATATCTCTTCCTTTCTTTTGCACAAAAACAATTTGTAGCAAACTGTGGATCCAGCTAAACACAAGGGCGGCGGCAGCACATGGCTCTGCTGGTCAGCGCCGAAGGGAGCTGCCCTCCAAAAACATCTGGAGGGCCCACAGCTTTGCCATCACTAGCTTAGAAGAGCTTTGCCACCCCTAGCTCAAGTCTCATTTTCAATTAACTTCAGTGTTGAATGTGGTCACAGCTATAGAACCGATTCCAGTTTTCTTTTCCCCTGTTGCCATTCTCCCATGCCACTCCCCATCTCATACCCATGGTTTGTGATGACTTCGTATTTCACAGAGGACTCAGCGTTTGGCCGGGCAACACACTCATCAATGTAGATCTTCAGAGGGACGTGGCTGCCCTTCCTTACTGATGCTTGGATGTTGATTAGATCCCCAAGATAGTAAGTGGGGTCAGACCTAGGTGCTGACCAGGTACCTGGAAGGAAGAATATAGAATCATTACATACACGTCAATAAGAAGCAAGCCAAGGGCCACATAACTACAAGCTCCCTTGCTAGAACACAGCACTTCACCTGCCAGTATTACTTCCAGGGTATTTGGAAGGACTTGGGTAAGATGTCTTTAATGGGCAGCCATTTCCTCCTTGCTGCTGTCCCTTCTCCATTTTAAAACAAATTTCTACTGGTTTTTAAACAAATACAATAACCATTAAACACTTAGCAAGCAGCACATCTAATGGTGTTTGTTTTATCCGCTGTCTCTAGTCATACACTTACACATTCAACATTCAAACATACTGCATAATGTAACCTCTCCACTGACTGATCAGCTGAGGAGGGGCCTATGTGTCTGTGCATGTATATGCTCTGCAAGAGCATGAGGTGGCCATGCCCACCCCTGGCAATTAGCCCCCTAGTGCAGTGGTTTTCAACCAGAGTGCGGTGGCACCCTGGGTTGCCTTGAATGATGGCCAGGGGTGCCACAGGCAACGGTAGCCTCCATCCCTCTCTTTCCTCCCCTCCCTCCTCTGATGCCTTCTCGCGTCTCTGCTTCCCAAAGGCTTGCACAGCTGTTTATTGCACCAGCCCTGGCCACAAGCTCCCCAGGCGAATGGGGTCTCTGGGGCTGGCCGGGGGTACTGGTTGCCAGGAGCTGAAGTGGCCTTGGAGTAAGCAAGCAAGTGGGTGAGGGAGTCCAGCCAGCCAGTCCACCATCCCTTGCTGTTGGGAATGGACAGACAAGTGGGAGGCGTGGGAGGCAAGTAGGCAGACAGGCATTGCACTGGCCTTGTGCTTGCTGTGTAAGGCCTGCCTGTGAGCTGAGTGCAGGGTGCTGAAAGGGAGCCTTTCCACCATGCTGGCCTGGTGGCACCCACTGCTGCCTCCCAAGTTGAGAAAGATGGTGGCCTCACATTCACCTTCAGCCAGTCTCTGTTGGGTTGCTAAGGCTGGAGGCATCCTCTTCCCAGGCTCCTGTGGGGCGGCATGAGGAGGCACCTTTCTTTGGGGTGGGGAGTTGTCTCAGAGACCAGGGGCAGCAGCAGTGGCTGCCCAGAGGACTCCCAAGGAGAGTGGAGAGGAGAGGGTCTTTGAAAAAGAGTGAGAGGCTGCCAGCTCTGAAGGCAAGGGGTGACATTACTGGGCTCCTGAGCGCCACAGGGGTGCCACAGAAAGAAGGTAGTTGGTCAAGTGAGTCATGGACTCAAAAAGGTTAATAAATTAATAAATGATGATGGTTTATTTATACCCCGCCCATCTGGCTGGGTTTCCCCAGCCATTCTGGGCGGCTTCCAACAAAATATTAAAATACAATAATTCATTGAATTTTAAAAGCTTCCCTAAACAGGGCTGCCTTCAGATGTCTTCTAAAAGTCAGATAGTTGTTTATTTCTTTGACATCTGGTGGGAGGGCGTTCCACAGGTGCCATTACCGAGAAAGCCCTCTGCTAGGTTCCCTGTAACTTCGCTTCTCATAGTGAGGGAACTGCCAAAAGGCCCTTGATGCTGCAGCTCAGTGTCCGGGTAGAACGATGGGGGTGGAGATGCACCTTCAGGTATACTGGGCCAAGGGAACTGGCCAAGGGTGAATGCAGCCTGTGAGCCAAGGAAGACCAGCCATTACTGTATAAAAGCTTACTTACACACACACACACACACACACACACACACACACACACAAAACCCTTGCAGAAGTGCAAATGGAACACGTGTCCACCAGACGCAAACGGCCCTATAACAAAACACCTTCTGTTCCCCAAATAAACTATTGTCACCTCTCTCCAGCCAATGTTTAATCAAGTGGGCAACTCTGTTCCTAGGTTTAACTAATATTGCAGCTTACTGTAAATTGGAGAGAGGCATGCTAGCCAGCTGATTAAGAGCACTCACTGTCATAGACTTCAAGGGCAAACTCCAAGCGCTGATTTTCCATCACGGTGGATCTGAAAGGGATCCATGTGGGCTGTATTCCAAGTGAGGAGACATTCCATGACCTAGAAGAGAAACCAGGTTTCATCTACTTCCTTCTTATATAATTCAGAAGGCTTATTGCTCTTTCTGTAGAACAGATCTTATGCATCACATGCATCTTCCTTCTTTTTGCATGCTGTTATGATCCTTGTAGGCCCCCAAAGTACATGGTGTTTTAGCAACTGCAGACTAAATTGCCACACTTTGCTGAGGATCAAACCTCAGGGACAGACACCAAGGACATCTCAACATCTCCTTAACACAATCCATCCATTAAAACATTCTTCCTAGAATGAAAGATGCTACCTTGGCCAGATAGCCAATGGGAGAAGCTAGATCCACACATCTAAGTATTTGGAGACCAGATGTGATCAAAAGCATAAGAGGCATGCTGCCGGAGGCGTTGCAGACCCCTCAGACTTTGCATCTGTTTGGGGGCTGTTTGTGATTCATATGACAAAACAATTTCATGGTTGGCACATTCCTACTAAATATGATTTTATCTGGAGACATTTATGAGTCCTGGATATATTTTGTATACATATGAACCTTGTATCCCATGACTGAATATATGCTACACATTTATGCTACTCATGCTTTTTCTAGCTCTTTTACTTTTATTCTCCTCAGGGCTTTTTTTCAGCCAGAACTCTCCGGATCTCAGTTCTGGCACCTCTCAGGTGGGCGCCATTGCCATTCTAAGAGAACAAGGGAGGCGGTCATGGTGAGTTCTAGGGCCTCCTTTTATAGAAAAACAGCACCGATTCTCCTTACCGTTATGAAAGGGGGGTTTTTTATTTAAAAAATGTATTTTAGGTTGCTGCTTTGCTTATTGTCTTTTGAAAATCTGAAGAAGAAGAAGAAGAAGAAGAAGAAGAAGAAGAAGAAGAAGAAGAAGAAGAAGAAGAAGAAGGCGGCTCCACCTTCTTTTCTTACAACAATGGGATAGCCCAGCATCTCTCACTTGCAGAATATTCCTTCCAGAACCAAGACTTACCTTAGGTAGATACAATCTATGGGTTGTGAGAATTGACTGGTCCGGATCACACCATTTTCAGCAGAAGGCATGTAGTAGAGAACATTTCTATAGTGGATACTGTCTGGGAGGAACTAGGAGCCAGATATAAGTTGTAAGTCTTTAGGATCTTTTACAAGACTGTGGACGAGATAGCATTTCAGGAAAACCCAATGTTATTGAGCCTATATAAACTCCCAGTCTTCTTACCACCCAGCTGCTCAAAGCAGAAATCAAAGCTATGCAGTACAGAGGCAAGTGCAAACCCCCCAAAGTCCACTGAAGCTGTCATCTACACAGCGTAATGCTAGAATGTTAAATTTATATTTGGGTGTTAAACTACTATGACACAGTCAGGTTAGGTTTCTTGAAAGAGCATTTAAAAAATTCTGCTCATCACCCTTTGGTCCCGCCCATCCCTTCTTTAAAGAAAAGAAAAACCCTATTATAGCAATACACCACAGCACTCTCAGTCTTTTTCGGGGGGAAAGAACAAAACAAACAAAATAGCGTCATAAAATGGCACACCCCACAAAAGGTTACAATGAATGTATTCCATGATCCAGTGCCCCTGCCCTCTGATGCGGATGTAACATAGAATAAAAAATTATACACAATGCTCACAATGGTGTATAATCAACTGCAAATCTACTTGTAGCTTATGGTGATAGAACCATGACTGGCTAGTGCCAAGAGATATCCTGGAAACAGCCTCAAATATAGTTTACCCCACACAGAGCTATAATTCCCAGCACCTTTAGAAAACTACATATCCCAGGATTGGGGGGGGGAGCCATTCCTGTTTTAAATATATAGTGTGGATATGACCTACAAAATGTATTTTTGGATAGAAATTCCTATAGAACCAGAGCCGTAGATAGGTGATCTTGCACCCCTGGCAGAACTGTCCAGATTGCGTCCCCAACCACTGACAAATTAGCTCTTCTTTCCGCCTCTCCTCCACCCCCCCCCATTCAATTCATTGTCTATTTAAAACCTTTTCTTATGAGGCAATAATCAATTTATAAATTTATATTTATAGACATATTTATAGATGTATTTTTAGGCAATTTTGCACACATGCCCCTTGCCTGCACCCCTGGAGGGGGCTCACCTCACCACCCCCTAGCTACGGCTCTGTATATAACCCAGACAAGTCACAAAGGATCCTGGAATCCTAGATTTGGAAGGGATCTTTGAGATCCATCTAGTCCAGCTTCCTCAATTCTGTGTAGGCTTTTCTTACTTCTCTGATGGCTCCACATGCATGGAGAGGATATTCGAGCTGCAGCACATCCTGATAAACAGCAGTCACGGAACAGCCAGATCCCAGGGTCAGTTCATGAACGCCAACAGCCACGCCCGTCCCAAAGAGATCCACCGGCACTGTGATCAATACGTGCGAGCTGCCGCAAGACACAGACACTGCAGAAAGCACAGGGACGGGTCATTAAGTGAACACTGACACACATCATTTTACAATCATGAATGGAACCAATATGTTACTGTAAAGAATATGGCAGCTAGTAGGCCAAGCACCTTCCCAGCCCTGCATCTTGCTTCCCACAGTGGCTAACCAGACGCCTATTGAAATCCCTGAAATAGGATGCCAGAGAGAGTGGCAGGTGATGGGGGAAGCAGCAAACATCATCACCTTGGTTGGCATAGTATGGCCATGCTATGACGCACTGGGGTTGTCACACCATCCTCCCTTTCGTCTTAATTTTAAGAATTTGTAGTTAGGGAGCAGTTGGAGAGATACGTACAGTATACAGTTACAGATGCTTCTTTTGTTTGTTTTTTACTTTTAAAAAGTTCTCTTTTTCTAAAATAAAACAGACCTATTTCCAAGTAAATGGGTTCAGCATCAAGTCAGCAGAAGCAAACCCCAATGTATTCCTGTGCTCTTGGTAATGCTATCATTCACCAAGCAAGTTTCAGCTTAAAACATGAAACTGCACATGTTCAGAGAATTGCTTTAAAAAACACCAAAATAAACCTGAGGGGAACTTGGCCCATCAGGCTGAAAGAAGTTTCCCAGAAAGTCACGCACCCGACCATAACACGCACGTAGTTTTTAGAGGAGGAAAATCCGTAGGCATGCCACCCGTAGGCATTCCCTCCATAACACGCACAGACATTTCCCCTTACTTTCTAGGAGGAAAAAAGTGAGTGTTATGGTGCAAAAAATACGGTAATTTTGACATTATATTTAATAACATCCTATGGTAACATTTTGACTCCCCCACTCCAGATGGGCCTACAATTTGTGCGTGTTTTGGAGAATGGAAAGTTTAGCCTATCAAGAGAAGCAGTGTGTGTGTGTGTGTGTGTGTTTGAAGAAGAAAAAAGGCACTGGTACTCACTATGAAGTTGTTACAATAAGTGCCACATCATTGATTTTCTCAGTGGTGGCTATCTAGTCTTTTATATATTGTATGTGTTTGGATTATTAATGTATTTGGATGACTTTGTATGATTTCATTGTTTAAACTTATGCCAATAAAGGCTGAGTGGCTGGGGAAACCCAGCCAGATGGGCGGGGTATAAATAATAAAATATTATTAATTAACAATAACAAGTGCTACACTTTTAACATTTGGGGGGAAAGTTACTGGTGCTGCATACCCTTGAGTACCCCCAGAAAAGAAAACACTGGAGAGAAGTATGCTAGAAGCGGAGGATTATCACCTGCCACCTTGGATTGGGTGGGCCCTCCAGCCACTAGGCAAAACTACCCAAAGGAATGGGTTTTCTTCACACCCTCCAAGCACTAGCCAATAATACCCGATTTAGCTTCTATCTACCTAGTGCACCACCTAAAATCTATCTTCAGCTTTATTAATATAAAGGCTACCACATATTTCTCTTGAGGTCTGCCTCACAGCAATTCAATGGATTCTGCTTTTGGCTGGACTAGAGCCTAAGTAACTTCTGGCATTTAAGTTTTCAAAATAATTGTGGGGAATGGCTCCTTTTGTTGCTTTGTCCAAGTTGTCCAGTGTGCAACTGGAAACCTGGTGCAGTGCAGTCTAATTAATGGCCTTCCTCTTTGTATGCTTCCTCAGAGAGGAAGCCCCACAGAGGTCACAGCCCTTACCCAAGCCTGATTCAACAGAAAGCTGCTGCTGCCCCACCTTCCAGTGACCTTTGGGCTCTTTCTTCATGGCCAGTTTCCCCACTTCTCATTTTGTGAAACATACCATAGTTTTCTGTTTATAAGATGCCCCCATGTATAAGACGAGCCCCAATTTTAAACCTAATTTTTTTGGGGGAAACTAGTCTTATACACGGAAAAATATGGTAACTCATATGTTTGCTCATCACACCCTGGTTACTCCATCCAATAACATTCTGATATTTCTATCAGAAAGGGCTTTTCTCTTCCTCAATCCACATCCACCCCGCATTTTGAATAACAGCCTGTTTGAAGAGGAGTTCTGGAAGATTCAAAGGTTTCCCCTCACCCATTTTAGTTACCGGTAGCCCTAGCTAGTAAAGCTAGCCTGCTAGCATGACCCCCCCCCCATGAATTCAATGCAAGTTAAAGAAAGTTGTCCAGCTATCTCCACTTAGATCAATCAATCAATCAATCAATCAATCAATCAATCAATCCAGGCCAGTACCAAGCAGCTTCATAGTAAACATTTGCCACCAATCACTGCCCAGACTAGTTTTTTAATGACCTTATACCTTGGCCGGTTTCATAACAGGAGGAATTTCCTCTAGGAACCACACAAAGCATCTAACAGCAAAGACAAAGTCAACACCTATTAAAACCAACCCCATGAGAGTTTGCATACCATTACAAAAAAAAGTTTCAACCATTCCTAGTTAACCCTTCCACACAAGACAATTTCAACTTCCCCTTCTTCCCCCAGCATTTACCGGAGTTATTTTGGGCAGAAACAGCAGCAGCTAAAAGAAATAAAGCCCACAGCCATAGGTGGTTCTCCATCCTTCACAGCTACCAGCCAGGTGGGAAAGAAAGTGTCCTCCTCTCCCATTGGCTCCATTTATAGTCCATGCATTGCTCAGGTGCCTCTGCATCCTCCAATGGAACCTGCTCATTCATGGTTCTCTTTCCCTTTCTAAACTGGGTAGCCATTTCCTAGCAATTCATTATGAAACAATTATAATAACCTCAGAGGCACTGTCCTATGTAAACCGCCTGTGAAAGTTCATCATTGATAGTTTGTATATGGAAGACTTGGTGAGTCCTTCATTCTCAGGCTCAAGGACCAAATGGGGGAGCATGTTGAATCATGGCATATACATATACAACCACTTGGTTGTTTACAGCAATGGAGAGGGGCAGATGCAATCCTAAATGTACTTATCTGGGAGTATGCTCCATTGAGTCCAATAGGACTAGGATGCATAGTTGGGATTGCAGTCCAAGTCTAACTGTGTTCAGTGGGGCTTACTCTCTAGTAAATGGTAGTAATGGAAGCAGTGCAGCAGAAGCCTAAGCATGTCTACTTAGAAGTAAGGCCCACTGAGTTAATTAAGGCTTCCGCCCAGGTGTGTGAATGGGATTACAGTCTTAATCATGGGCAGCTGTTGAGAAGTCAAATGTGTGTAAGATTATTCTGCTGTTCCTTTTCAGTTTTTTCACCACTTTTGCTTCTTGCTCTTGAGTACTCAAGTCATAGAATATTGTGTAAATCAAGAGTTATAGTCAGGTTTAATTTGTATTTCTCTGCTGTCATTATCCTATATCCAGAAATTTTAGCTTACTTTAGTAGCATGAAATAATACTTCACCACTCCCTTTTACATCCTAAAATACTGTATTTTATTTACTTATTTCACTTATCAGTCACTTTTTGAAAACAAAAAGTAACTGAAAGCCACTTACAAAATAGTACAAAGATTAAAACATGTATGAAGCTAAAACTGAATAAAAACCTAAAAACATATTAAAACATGTGAAAGGCAGGTGTAACACATTCCATCCACTGAAAGAGGCCACAAATACATTGTTGAACACTACTCCAATCTCTGAGCGGTGAGAGATTCCAGGGGTTCCGGGCGCTTACCCAGAGTTCGTGTTTCCTTTTGGAATGAGGCAGAATGAACACTGTGGTGTCTTTATGACATATGGTTTATTTACACATATATAAGCCCTACACAAGACAGGAGTGTCTGGCATGCTCTGGTCCATGGGGTCATGAAGAGTCGGACATAAACAACAACAAAAGCCCTACACAAATCTTAAGTGCCTCAGGTGGTTGGATGGCATCTTGTATGCCTCCTTCTGGTAACTCCTGCAGCCAAGCTGGTGCCAAATGTATTGCTCTGCTTTCCTTTGGACCACATCAGCGAGGCTGAGAGGGGGGTCTTGTGGTCTGGGTGGCCCAGGACCTCCATATACACTGCCCAGGCCTGCACTTTGGGGAGGTCATTTCAGTGCTGCTAGCACAGCAGTTTGACTTCACTCCTGGAGGTGCACTTCATTGTCTCTAGAGACAGATAGATGCCAACAACCATTTACATGTATTTGCAAGCTGAGCCTACTATGGAGGGGTTCACATCATTAACACCTGAAGAAGGTCCTGCTTTTCCCATAGCCACAGCCTTGTATTCCAGTAGAAATGTGACCAATACAAAGCGCAGTACTCTAATCTTAAACATTCACTTGGATTAAGCTATATTGGTTTCAATAAACCTTCCTTCCAAGTAAGTATGTTTATGATTGTGACTTGTGGCTATGTGGGGGGGGGGGATGCCCTTCTATCCTGGAATAACTGACAGCCTGTGCCTACGCAAATGTTCTCACCCTTGCTTGTTCAATGGAACTTAATCCTAAAATAACGTGCTTAGTTATAAAGCATTTATTGCTGGGCTGGAGAGCTTGCTGCCCTTCAAATGTTCCTGAACTACAACTCCCATCATCCCCCATATGTAAGTTGGGGCTGATCAGAGCTGGAGTGCAACAACATCTGGATAATTAAATTCAGATTCTTGCATGTGTCAACCATTTGCCTATAATGATACAGTAATAATATGTTCTGGTCTACTGCTTTCATGCAGTTTTGTACTTATCCCATGTTCACATTTACTTCTGTTCAGCATTTGTTTATGAAGTGATCGTTCATCAGAAATTACTCCGTTCTTACAGATGTTTCTCTAACCATAAGCCTGTAGGCCTTGCTCTTTATCTAGCTTCCCTTCCCTTCTGTACCTACCGGGAACAGGCAGAGGTGGAGCTAGCTGCTCCAGCACCCGGAGCGGCACACATGCTGTGCCCGTGGGGGCGGGGCTAGCATCGGGGGGGGGGCTAGCTGCCCGTGGGGGCGGGCTAGTGTCCAGGGGGTGCGCCACCACCAGCAAGCGTTCCTGGGGGGCACTGCCCACGGTGATGTCACCCCCCCCAGGGATGACACCCGGGGCAAGCCGCACCCACCACACACCCCTTTCTCTGCCAGTGGGAACAGGGAGGAAGGCAAATGGAACTGCCACTTCTAAATAATAATAATAATAATATGATAATGATAATAATTTATTTATACCCCACCCATCTGGTTGGGTCTCCACAGCCACTCTGGGCGGTTCCCAACATAATATTAAAACACGATAAAACATCAAACATTAAAAACTTCCCTAAACAGGGAAGTTTCTACCTGTTTCTACTTTATTAAGAACTGTCATTCTGTCAATCTGTACTTTCCTGCAGGGCAGGGACACACATCTACGCACGTTACTTAGCATTGCTCAATATCTCTTTCTTGCTATGGGGAAGCAACATGATAAGGGAGGAGTCCCTTGTACCTACCTCTTTGTCACTGCTTGGTTCCTGGTTGTAGTGCTCACATCCCAAGAGCAACCAAGAGGCACATACTGCATCTGAGTAATGATGATGGGACCTCTGCTGGGATTGGTGTTTCTGCTTCTCATCCAAGGACAATGCTGCCTGGACTGCAGTAAGTAGGAAAAGCCTGTCAAACTGAATTTCACTCTCTTTAGGTCATAATGATACAGTGCTTCCAAATCTCATTTATTTTCAGGGATTTTTTTTTTTTATGTCCCAGAATGGCAAAAATTTGCAGCTTCCCTATAACACTTCACATCAGCTTAAGTATTTCGTTGGTCTCCCTCTTGTGTCTCTTCTTTTGTCTCCCTTTTAGTCCTTCTCTTTGTCTCTGCTTTGCACTGCTTCATCTCTCAAGTCAGGTTGTCGGCTTTTGTACTGGTCCAGCAGCAAATACCAGGGGATATAATAGAGAAAAGAAGCTGTGTTGGGCCCTAAGAAAAATCTAAAATCCATATTAGCCAATCAAAATGTCACAAAATAGTTTGCAAGCTTTTGAGCTCTCCAGAACCCTGCACCATTTCTAAGGTCTTCCTCCCTTGCTGCACCGCTGCCCCATCTTGTCATTCTGCTATCGGGATGGGGAACCTGCTGCTGTTAGACTTCAACTCCCATCATCCCTGACCATTGGCCATGCTGGATGGGGCTGATGGGAGCTGGAGTCCAACAACATCTAGAAAGCAACAGGCTCCCAATCTCTGCCCTATTGCAGATCACATGGCCTCAGAGTGAGGTTGTAATTGTATGATAATTCTTCAGGTAACACATGGGTTGGCACAACAGCAATATAAAATGGATGAGTTGTAGTTTTGTATTTATTTGTTTTAAATATTTATACACAGTCCTTTTATCCAATTACTTCAGGGCAGTTTACAATAACAGCTTGTTAAACTCCATAGCATAATCGTTCCTCTGTGCCTCTTATTCTTGGAAATATATACAGTGGTACCTCAGTTTTCGAACGTCTCCATTGATGAACATTTCAGTTTTTGAACACCGTAAACCCAGAAGTAAATGCTTTGGTTTTCAAACACAACTCAGAAATCAAACATGCCAAGTGGCTTCCACTGAGTTCAAGATCCTGAGGCCTAGCTGTCAGCTATTGAGTTTTTGGTTTTCAAACGTTTCAGAACTCGAACGGTCTTCTGGAAAGGATTACATTCAAAAACCGATGTACAGTGGTACCTCGGGTTAAGAACTTAATTCGTTCCGGAGGTCCATTCTTAACCTGAAACTGTTCTTAACCTGAGGTACCACTTTAGCTAATGGGGCCTCCCGCTGCCGCCGCACAATTTCTGTTCTCATCCTGAAGCAAAGTTCTTAACCCAAGGTACTATTTCTGGGTTAGCGGAGTCTGTAACCTGAAGCGTTTGTAATCTGAAGCATCTGCAACCTGAGGCACCACTGTACCACTGTATATAGACAACATCACTTGTGCTTTTCACATTAGCATCTTGCTGGTAGGTGAATAATGCAAATGGTCCAGCTAAAGGGAAGCTCCTAAAATGAGAGCAGCACAAAAAAAGTCTGTAGAGGGATGAAGAGGAAGATTTATTTGTTTTGAAATATGCTGGGTTGGGTTTTCCACATCCTTCTATGGACATAGTTGTGTTGCTCTTAATTAGTAGTATGCAGTCAGTCAGTGGCATGTGTGTTTTAGAAGTTCTCCCTGGGGAAGATGGCATTAGTTCTGAGTTTTCAAAGAAAGCTACTCCTACAGAGGCAAGGATGATGGTTTCAAATTATCAGCTTCTTATTAGGGTTAAATATCTGTTCTCCAGAACCCAATGCAGAACATGGGTTAAGAAGCAGACCTCTCCCTCAGAATTGATAAAATGAGGTGACAATCGCTGTGTATCAACACATATCTTGGGAGAGAGAACTCTGCCTGGGAAAGGCTTTTCTTCCTGCTGCTTCCAGAGTTGCCAACTTTTTAAAAAAACACACCTGATAACTACTCCTGTAATTTTTACAGCAACTTAATCTGCAGACTTTAGCAACATGATGATAATGGCGACCTCTTTTCCATTCTTAGTTTTACATGTTGTGCAAACCAAGCTGTGGTTTAATGAGTAAAAGGAGACCAGACTGGATTTTTCAGATCAGCTGGCAATCCTAGCTGCTACTATTTACAAGGAAGTAAAACGCAACAAAATAGCTATTACTAAAGGTCATCACACAGCTTCTCTTGGCTTAGAGAGCATACTGTATCTTCCTGCTTGCTTTATTATTGTTATATTCACCCCAGCTCTCCACATGATGGAAAATTCCAGGAGTGCAGTGATTACCCAGGAGGGGTGCCAACACGAATAGAATATTGTGGGGGGGCCAGGTAAGCCCCACCCAGAATATTTGATCACATGACACAGTGCATGTACACCATTTGAATCAGAATGTCCATCAACTTTGTGGGAGCCCAGCCACCTCAAATATTTTATTGTGGAGTCTGAAGCCCCCAAGGCCCCTAGGAGTTGACTCCTATGGTACCCAGGTTTGGTTCCCTTTGAAAGAAGGCCTCTGAAGGCTTTTTGATATTTTGATGAATCCCAAGCTGGAATTAAGATTGCCGGAAGAAATATCAACAACCTCAGATATGCAGATGACACAACCTTGATGGCAGAAAGTGAGGAGGAATTAAAGAACCTTTTAATGAGGGTGAAAGAGGAGAGCGCAAAATATGGTCTGAAGCTCAACATCAAAAAAACGAAGATCATGGCCACTGGTCCCATCAACTCCTGGCGAATAGAAGGGGAAGAAATGGAGGCAGTGAGAGATTTTACTTTCTTTAATTAAAAGACGCCTGCTTCTTGGGAGAAGGGCAATGACAGGCCTAGACAGCATCTTGAGAAGTAGAGACGTCACCTTGCCAACAAAGGTCCGTATAGTTAAAGCCATGGTTTTCCCAGTAGTGATGTATGGAAGTGAGAGCTGGACGATAAAGAAGGCTGATCGCAGAAGAATTGATGCTTTTGAATTATGGTGCTGGAGAAGACTCTTGAGAGTCCCATGGACTGCAAGAAGATCAAACGCATCCATTCTTAAGGAAATCAGCCCTGAGTGCTCACTGGAAGGACAGATCGTGAAGCTGAGGCTCCAGTATTTTGGCCACCTCATGAGAAGAGAAGACTCCCTGGAAAAGACCCTGATGTTGGGAAAGATGGGGGGCACAAGGAGAAGGGGGCGACAGAGGACGAGATGGTTGGATAGTGTTTTCGAGGTTACCAGCATGAGTTTGACCAAACTGCGGGAAGTAGTGGAGGACAGAGGTGCCTGCCGTGCTCTGGTCCATGGGGTCACGAAGAGTCGGACACGACTAAACGACTAAACCACAACAACAACAACTATTTGTGTATTTAAAAAAAAATACCCAGGTTAACCATAGGCCATTGAGGCTCAGCATCCAATAGACATTACCACAAATACTGTAGTTTATAGAGTTCAGATTCAGCCTACAAGGTACTTAAAGATATTAAAAATGAAGATACTTAAGGAAATGTGTCTAAGAATTAGTTCTGCGTTGCTGGACTATTGATACTCCTTTGTCAGATCCAAGTATTGTGTCAGGGCAAAACAAACTATCCAGACACAATCTACACTGTCATTATTTTCTGGAGGTATCCAAGCCCATACCAGAAATTTAAACATGCAAAGGCATGTATTGCATGCCTGTAATAATATTAATAGGGACGCGGGTGGCGCTGTGGGTAAAAGCCTCAGCGCCTAGGGCTTGCCGATCGAAAGGTCGGCGGTTTGAATCCCCGCAGCGGGGTGCGCCCCCGCTGTTCGGTCCCAGCGCCTGCCAACCTAGCAGTTCGAAAGCACCCCCGGGTGCAAGTAGATAAATAGGGACCGCTTACTAGCGGGAAGGTAAATGGCGTTTCCGTGTGCGGCTCTGGCTCGCCAGATGCAGCTTTGTCACGCTGGCCACGTGACCCGGAAGTGTCTCCGGACAGCGCTGGCCCCCGGCCTCTTGAGTGAGATGGGCGCACAACCCTAGAGTCTGTCAAGACTGGCCCGTACGGGCAGGGGTACCTTTACCTTTAATAATATTAATAGGTCATGATTGCATTCAAAGGAGAAATACAAAAGAAAAAAAGGGCACAGTATGGAGCAAAATAATTACAATTAATTTATTAAAGCTGAGGCAGAATCAGAGGTGAGTAAGGCAAGGATTAATGTCAACTTGCATTCCACATAGGACCAATGGACATACAGGTTTTTAAGATCTGCCCTTTCAAAGTGGCTTACAACTCAATTAAAATAAACATGAATTACAGATGAGGGTTAGGGGTGAGTATGTAATGAGACTTTAGCTATATCATGATTCAGCACTAACTTATCCCATTGATTTAAAGGGAAATGAAGTTCAGCTCAACAGTCAGGGAAGCAGGGGCCCAGAGTGAACTGTGGGTTGTCTTGTCTGCATCATTCCAAACTATAGAGCTACTGAAGGACTATACTATGATCCATCCCTCCCATTTTCTCTTCAAGATAAGTTTTGGGAGAGTGGGGAAAAGGCTCCTCATGTGGTTATTGGTCCCCCATTAGCTGTGAGTGAGGAATGGCTCCTCCTGGTGACTGATCTACTGAATAAGATGATGCATTCAACCACAGCCTATCACAAATCCACCACATGTGAATGTAATCTCATTACATGTTGATGGATCTTCACGGGGACTTTATTTAATTGCAAAAATGATTCAGAAATGTAAGGAACTGAACTTAAGACTAGAAAAAAGGAGAAATAAAGACACTGAAATTGACATATTTGTACATCTCCAGTAACCACAGTCATTGTTTCAAAATTCTGTGCAATCCCTGATGTTTCCGGTTAAAGACTGCCAATAACTAGGAACAGGAAATGCCCCTGCCTGTTACTCAGGAGAGCTGGTGCTGTTTACTGGAGTAAGCAGTCCAGAGCATTCCATACTAAGTGTTTAGCATGGAATTGCCACGCTTGGATCACACACCTTTTACGGAGCATACACACAAATTATTTATCCAGCCACCCATCCTTCTTCAAGACTGCAAATGATCCATCTTAAAATAACACAAAAAAACCTTAAGTGAACAGTAGCACCATCTCTACAGGTGAGCTTGCAGAACTACTCTGCTGCCTTTTTAAAGGTGCCTGTTACCACAGCCCTCTCCCAATTCTCCAACTAAGCATACGTTTGCCATTTCTTTTCTGGCCACTGTTGAGAGCTCCTAATATTTTATCCACCCCTAACTCACTCCACCTATCCCTGCCCTGCAACTGCACTCCACAAATGGGTCCCTGCTGCAAGTACTGCATGCCCCAGAGGTGCACTTAGCTTGTACTAGAAAGTGGGCTTTCAGTGCTGCAGCTCCAGTCCTCTGGAATCAATTACCAGCCAAACCTGGGCAGGTGCCTTGTGTCATGATGATTAGGCATCTATTGAAGGCATTTTTTAATATATATTTTTTGCTTAACAAGGCTTTCACTGAAGGGTGACCCAGGCATTTATGGAATATTAATTGCGTATCTGCAGAAATGTATTTATTGGTTTTTAAAATAATCTGTGGATATGGTTCTTCTTGCTTTTAGAGCTTGTGTTTTATTTCACTTTTGTCGACTTGGATCATTTCATGGTGTGAAGTGGTTTATAAATTTGTTTTAAAGATTAACAAGTAAATAAGAAATCATGGGATTTGGCCCAGGAGACAATTTTGCAGGGCAGTTTTTCCTTCCTAACAAACAGAAGGCTGCTTGAGAAGGTTCTGTGGGAGAGATGCCAGTGGGCTTAATTTCAGCCACTTCCCAGATGTCATGCCCAATGCTGAATGCTGAACACTTCCCAGATGTCATGCCCAATGCTGAATGCTGAACACTTCCCAGATGTCATGCCCAATGCTGAATGCTGAACACTTCCCAGATGTCATGCCCAATGCTGAATGCTGAACACTTCCCAGATGTCATGCCCAATGCTGAATGCTGAACACTTCCCAGATGTCATGCCCAATGCTGAATGCTGAACACTTCCCAGATGTCATGCCCAATGCTGAATTCCCAAAAAGCCTGAAGCTTTCCTGCTAGGAATAGTTGGCAAGGAAATCAAAAAAGAGGATAAAAATCTGTTTCTATATCCCACAATGGCCGCTAGAACTATGTTAGCCCAAAGCTGGAAAATACCTACTATAAATGACTGGCAGAGCAAGATGATAAATTATGCTGAACTAGCTAGAATAACAGGGACGCGGGTGGCGCTGTGGGTAAAACCTCAGCGCCTAGGGCTTGCTGATTGCATGGTCAGCGGTTCAAATCCCTGCGGCGGGGTGAGCTCCTGTCTTTCGGTCCCAGCTCCTGCCCACCTAGCAGTTCGAAAGCACCCCTAAGTGTAAGTAGATAAATAGGTACCGCTTTATAGCGGGAAGGTAAACGGCGTTTCCGTGTGCGGCTCTGGCTCGCCAGAGCAGCTTCTTCACGCTGGCCACGTGACCCGGAAGTGTCTCCGGACAGCGCTGGCCCCCGGCCTCTTAAGTGAGATGGGCGCACAACCCTAGAGTCTGGCAAGACTGACCCGTACGGGCAGGGGTACCTTTACCTTTTTAGCTAGAATAACAGGAAGACTAAGAGACCAGGATGACCAGAAGTTTCATGAAAATTGGAACAAATATCTGACGTATATAAGAGATAAGTATAGAACTTCGATGACTCTGGCAGGGTTAGAACAACTCTAACAGTGTTTGGCAAATATGTAAAGGAGATAAAACACGTAACTTTAGAAATTATCTGATACTTACCAATGAAGTGAAGGGAAGTCCGAGGCTCGGCGGAGCCCAAAATAACTGTGTACTATATATATGATTCTTGTAACAGCTATGTTATATGCAACTTATGTAATCTAGACTGTATATATGTATAATCAATGGAAAACCAATAAAAATTTATATATAAAAAAGGAGACAATTTTGCAGGGCAGTTTTTCCTTCCTAACAAACAGAAGGCTGCCTGAGAAGGTTCTGTGGGAGAGATGGCAGTCGGCTTAATTTCAGCCACTTCCCAGATGTCACGCCCAGTGCTGAATGGAGGCAGCACTACCTGGTCTCTGTAAGGAGTGTGTCACACTTCACAAACAAATTACCATTTCCCCATGAATGGTGATTAACCTTCACTTTCACTGGTATCACCTTGTGGAAGTCACAGAGATAAACAAATTAAATAATACCAGAGGTGATGTGGCAATTGAAAAGCAAAAGGTTGGGAGGGAGGGAACCGGAGCTGCACTTGCAGGTTATATAAAGGAAGCCCAAACAGGCTTTCGACCTGCGCCAACTTCTGGTGTTCTTGGAAACGTCAAAGAAAGACAGACTCACTCCAGTCCAAAATGTCCCTCTCGGCTGTTGTCCTTTTGTGCATGTTCGGCACAGTGACCAGTGAGGCTTGCGGTGAGTATTAAAAAGCTTTGGGTGCTTCCAGAAGGAAGTACTGCCAATGGGTCGTTGAGGGTTCACAACCAGGTTGTTGGTCTTCAGAAACCAAATGGATTTCTTCCTGGGAAGGGTAAATCTGGACTGAATGGTATGTGTGTGACATGGGTGGGCTAGCATTTTATGATAACAATGTCGCAAGGATGCTGCAGAAAACCTTGAATCAATGAGGAGCACCTGTCCCATGATATATACCTGTCTGTAAGCACCCTTAGTTACCACAGAGCCCCCATTCAATGTGGGCAGGATTTAAAAGGTGCTTCCACAATACTTATAGTGCTGATAGAAGTGGCAGAAGTCATTCCTGCATTCTTTTAGATGTATCTCAAAAACACTAGTGTTCAATCTGCTCGGGAAAGTGATTTATTTTCATTAGCCAGTTTATTAGCACGCTCCTGATGTTTTTACTGAAGCTCTTATAGTAGTATTGTACTTTTATGTTGTACACCACCCTGTTATATTTTCCATGAGATTGCAGTTTATAAATGTTTAAATAACATTTTAAAAAATAAAATGCGTGTTGTCATAAGTTGAATTGCAGTCCTATTGAAAAGTTAGGTAAGAGCTCTGAGGACAGTTGTTGCTTCTTGATGAACATCTGCTTTTCTCGGTTCCAGCTGTCCCCAGTGCTCAGCAGTGGCTGGTTACAGGGCTCCAGACTCAGCTAGAAAATGGCGTGAAGCAGCAGAGTTCACCCAGTCCAAGCGTTGTGATGGCTTTGAACCTGGCTGGGGGTCGAGATTCCACAGCAACAAAGCGGTTGATCCAGGATATCAAGGGTATAAAAGGTGGGATGTCGAGAATGAGAGGTGTCAGCTTCCCCTAGTTGTCCAATTGGAGCACTAGAGGTATGTGAACCAAGCCATGTTTGTTTGGAGACACAATCTCTGTCTTTCCCCATCTCTTTCTGCAGACATGACCTCTGGCAAAGTGGCGCTTTACGTCCTATCTCTTCAGTCATTCTGTGTGGATCCGAAGGATGTCCCCACAGCAGGGGGACGTGTCAACGTGGTCAGTGCCTTGGAAGAGAAAACCAATGAAGAGATCAAACATTACTGTAAGAAGACAAATGCCTGCTGAACTCCTCCCATCCTTCCAATGTTAGGCTGTGTCCTCTCCCAGCTCTTGCATGGATGGTGGCTCTCAGCTGACTGAGTTTGAGAGGCCCGAATCCTTCAGGAATGTCTCCCTGATATGCTACCAATAATATGCCCTTGGATGTGCTCCCAAAACACTGGCTACTTACAACAACCTAGTGCAGTGGCTCCCAATGGGTGGTCCACGGATGCCAGGGGGGTCCATGTAACCCACCCAGGGGTCCATGGCACCATTCACAGAACAATAACTACCATAGAGGTATCAACATTTTCAAAAGCAGAGGGTCCATGGCTTGGCTTTTGGAAAACAGGGGGCCCACAGTACTTAGCTAATTGGGAACCAATGACCCTAGTCATGATAAGAACCCCAAAGAGCGCTGGGCTGAGCATGGGAGCCTGCTGTTGTCAGGAAGCAGCTGCAATGGATAACACACAGCTATGTTTGTTGCAGATGACACTGGAACCCCCAAGACTACCAACTATCAACTGGCTCTAGATATCCTGGCCCTGTGTGTGGAAAAAAGTCCGGATGCCAAAAATGCCGCCGCCACCCTCATTAAGATCATAAAAGGCTGCCAGAGCAAGGGCTGCTTCGACGTAGGTAAGATTACCACACTTGACTTGTACATATATTTTTTTTAAAGTAATTTTCAGTTTTACATTTATTCTCCAAGACAATTTGTCAGGACAGTGTACACACTTATCCTTGCAATAAGTAAGTCACAGTGGGGTGAGATGGTGACTTGCCCAAGGTCACACATGGGGAGTTTCATGGCTTAGTGGGGTTTGAGAGTCAGGGACTCCTAGTGCAAAATCCTGCTGTGCGGTGCAATTTGACCTGCTTCCTCCCAGTGCCTGCTCTTCAGCAGCCTTCATGCTCAACAGCTGCAGGGCTGACCTCCTTCACCTTGCCTAGTGTCCCTTCCATGGGTCATCCTTTGCTGAGCAGGACATCAGAAAGAGAGATTTGCCCTGGTGCTCCCTATAGTCTCAGTAGGCAGGGCTATTTGTCTAGAAAAAAGAGGTTACGGAACTCGCCGTGAACACCTACTTCGTTCTCTTAGAATGGCAATGGTGCCCACCTGAGAGGTGCCAGGACTGAGTTCCGGCAAGTTCCGGCTGAATAAAAGCTCTGTGGGTAGGCAATGATGACGTGTGATTTGCAGATACTGCCGCCATGGTGGCTTTGGCACTGTCTTGTGTGCATGACGGAATGAGCAAGGGGAGCAAGATGGAGGGAGCCATTACTGAGACGCTACGTGTCATCACAGCACAAATCCTTGACTCACAACAGGAGAGTGGCATCATTGGAAACATCTATAGCACTGGGCTGGCAATGCAGGTATGTCTCTGGCCATGCATTAGAAGATGAAGCAAGGAGTGTGTGTGTGTGTGTGTGTGTGTCCCATTGCCTTCTCTCCACTGCAAGCTTCTCTCTCTTGCTTGCTTTCCAGGCACTCAGTGTTACCACTGAGTTCTACCCTGCTGGGGCATGGAAATGCACCAAGACCATCGATGAAGTGTTGAGGAAGATGTATGAGGGAGCCTTTACTAATCCTGAGGCGGGTTCTCAAATTCTGCCTTCTCTAGTGGGCAAAACATACTTGGATGTTGCGACTCTGAATTGCTTCTCAGGTAACGCTGCACCTCGCTGAGTGTTGACCTGAGCCAATGCAAGAGCAGCATACAAGTTCCTAAAGGTCTTGAACTGCAGCTTCAGACTTTTGGCATATAGGAAAGGCAAGGCCTAAATTAATCTGTTTTCTGTTTTCCAACATAACCTTTTCATGCTGCTATGAAAAAAGCCAAGTACGGTCGTCAGCTTTTTCCCCTGACATATCTTCTGCACCTCTAACAGCTGCATGGCAAATCTAGTTTCCCTATCATCACTAAATTTCCTTGATAGAAAAACTTGATCTGTATCTGTCGAGCAATAAAGGCACTGTGAGAAGTGAAGTTACAGGGAACCAGGCAGAGGGCCTTCTTGGTAGTGGTGTCTGCCCTGGTGGAATGCCCTCCCATCATTGTCTTCTAAAAGTCAAATAGGCAACCCTGTTCAGGGAAATTTTAAAAAATGTTTGATGTTTTATTGTGCTTTTAATATTCTGTTGGGAGCCACCCAGAGTGGCTGGGGCAACCCAGTCAGATAGGCGGCATATAAATAATAAAATTACTTTTACTACTACACAATAAGTATGTTTGATATGCAAATGTTGGAAGTGGCAGTGGGGCTAGTCCTTTCATGCACGCCCCTCCTGCACCTGTTCGCTTGAATGCATGTGCAGAGTTTATGACAAGAAAGGGCACTAATAGTGCAGTGGTAAAAGCTTCAGCTCATTTTCCCAACAAGGCTAAGATTATGTCATGGGCTCCCCACTAGCTCTGGGACTACAGGACTGGCTTTAGGTATTAAGGGCATCATGAGGTATCTGCTTTCTCCTGTCTTTTTGCACAGATCCTAACATTACAGTGCACTACACTGTAATCAATCAGCTAATAGGACCCTATTTCAACTACTCCATAACAGTGAAGGTGCCCAAGGGCTCCGTACTGCTTGCTGCCTTGGAAGCTGCTCAGCATGTTAATCCCACTATATTCAGGTAAAGAAGGGAGGCCTGGCAGGGGGGTGTGAGCGAGTGTGTCAACTCTGGCATTTCATGAGAGCGGTGAAACCCAGGATGCAAAATTGTGAAAATTTATTCTTTAAAAATAAGCTAATACCATGATTTGAGGGACACTGAATATCATTTTTAAACACTAGCTTTTGGTGAATTGTTTCTGAAACTTTCGGGACACTTCCCTTTTTTCTTCCTTTAAAAATTTATTTCGGAAATTTATTCCTCCTTAGATGATAGATTTCCCCTTTTAACTTACAGCTTTCAAACAGAATCAACTTCCTGGGGGCCCATGGTTATTTCTATCCATGGTGTCAATGGCAGCAGCGATGACAAGACCTACTGGCAGTTCTTGAGTGGCGAAAAACCCCTTGACCAAGGTGGAGTGTCTGATGAAGAAATCTTTTGAGTCTAAAGAAATACAAAATGGCCGTTTGCAGTCACCAGGGAGCATGTTCTCCAGACAACGCCCGCAGTTAATGGCCGTATTTCCTCTATTATGTTTGAATTGTTAGTAGGACAGAGAGCAAAACCAGCAGCAGGGCTATGCCTGTGTTGTTCGTATATACAATCAAAGTGGCAAGGAGCAAGGGGGACCATTAATATTCAAATCTTACCTATTAATAAATGGTGAGACACAAGACAAGATCAAGGGAGTTGCCTTGGCAGTGACTGGAGTCCATGGGTACAGGCTAAAGGAGGAGGTTAGGGAGACAGATGCTTTAGTGAGGTTACCAGCTCAAAAGTTGGCGTTGCTCAGGAGCTGGATTTGAATGATATCCGAGATAACTTTTATTATTATTTATTTCATTTATAAATTGCTTCCCATGAGACACCGTGAAGTGATTTACAAGATCATAACATGTTATGTGTGATGTAAAAAGAGATAAAACTGATAACAGATATAAAAAATAATTACTAGAAAGTTTAATATAACAACAATACATACAAATAATACAATTCAGATGTGGAACAGATACCAACTTGTATAAAGAGATTAGAAGACTTGATTAAAGAGGACATCTGATATCCAATGGGAGTCAAAGTCAGATATGAATACTAAGCTGAGGCCTGAGGTACAGTAGCAAGGCAAAAAGGAGATGACATAGAGAAGGCTGTGAAGCAGAACTGGGATAATAAATTTATTTATGTAGTTCACCTTTTGTGTGCTCTCCCCGCAGTGGTAGGCTCTCTGTTTTTCATCTTCAGCTGATGGTACACATCCAGCATAAAACAAGCATGTGCTAGTTACAATGTTGAAGGTAGTAGTCAACAAATGTATCTGATGGGAAACTGACTCCTATGCCCGTAGATTCCTGCATTTCATGGGGTTGGGCTAGATGACCCTTGGGGTCCCTTCCAATTCTATGATTTTATGAAAAAGCTATATTTCCAAGCTGTAGAACACTACTCACTTTTCAACATCACCGCTTTGTGTCTCCAGGTGTTGGCAGCTACAAGCCCACGGACAATGAACATATTGTGGCCAAATTCAGTACATACTGAGCAACCAGCTGCCAATAGGAAGAACTACTTCAAATAAATATTTACCAAAGTATAGTTCCTGCTCCAGGTTAAAGAGATGTGTCAGCTTATTTGAAGATGCAACATTCAGCCACGCTGCATGCTACATAAGAACATATGCACTATCTTGTAGTTCTGACAAGTTATAAATAAAGCAGTTGGATTCCTGTGCATATTTCAGATTGTTCTACACGTTGGTATCAATTTCAGTTAAGCACTGATTTCATTTATATTCACAAAGTAAGAATGGTCTATGCCAGACAAAAATAGGAGCAAATATGATTTCTATCTTTTGGTTCCTTCTATACTGGATCACTTCTGACGAGATAGTATGCAGATATGGACAAACTACTCTACCTACCAATTTTTAACCAATAGATAGGCACCAAAATCAATGAAGAAATGCTGGAATGGAATGCTTCTGTTAGAGTATGAAATGCTTTTCTATTCAAAATACAAAAAAGTTGAATAACAACAAAGATACAACCAACAAGAGAAATACATCATAACTCTGAAGCAGCAGTAATATGAAAACTAATGAGCTAACCACACCAAGGTACGCTCTCTCAAACTGTCAAGTTTTAATGATTTGGCAGGAAAGTATCTGGATGTCCACGAGGCACATTTCCCTAGACAGGGAGCTCCAGAGAGTTAGCTCAAGATCTGAGAAGGGCGTGCTCCAAATTCCTGCCCATCTCATGTTGGAAGTGAAGTTCTTTTTTCTTCCAGTGGGTAATGCCCAAAGAGCACATTGTACAGAAACGAATATTGGGGAATGAAAATACATAAAAAGCCATGAAGTGGCTATTATTACATGCAAGGATTACAATACGCAAGACTTAAATTAACTACAGCCATTGCTGTACCGTACCCTAGCACACCTAAATTCCACCAGTGCTCTAATTAGCATATTACTACATAATCGCAGCTGTCCTGTCCTGACTGCAGGGCATTTCCATGTGGAGAGGAGATCACAGCTACCATTCTAGAAAACAGGTTTCTGAGGTCTTAGATGCATATTACTAAAGATCAGCTTGGTGCATGGGCGTAGCTGCCCCCCAATCAATAAAAATACATAACAAACTGAGGTTCTGCCCCCCCAACAAAAGGCTTGCCCCCCCGCCCGAATCCTGGCTACGCCCATGACTTGGTGCCCTGAATCTAGAACCCAAAAACTATTTCAAGAAAAGGAAAGAAGGAAAATGTTTGCAGAGGATAAGGGTCCCCTACTTAAAACGAAGCTGCTCCCAGTGACCTTTTATGTGCCACCAGGTTCTTTGCTGCGATGGAGGCTGCAAGCTAAACTGTGCCCCGTAAACTCTCCCCTGCTTTTTCTAGCCACTGGGGAGCCGGGAACCAAGCTCGTCCCAGGGAAGAGCCAGAAAGAACCCCCGGGATCATTTATTCGCCGGAACTGAACCGTGTCGCCGCTCGTTTCCGTACGTCCCCTCTCACTAACGCCCTCCCCACCGGAAGTGGAGCCCAGCACTTCCGTCACGCTTTGGGATCAGAGGCTCGAGGTCAGGCGGAGCTTCTTTGCGGGAGAGCCACCCCCGCCCACCCTTCTAGTGCTCACGGCAGCGTCGCACGATGTGGAAGCAGCTGGGGCGCCCTTTGCTCGGCCTCCGCGGGACCCTGCTAGGTGAGGAGGCCTGTTTCGGAGGGGCCGAGCAGCCGGGGAAACGCGCGCGGCTCTCCGGTGCCCTCGCTTCGCCGTCCCCCCCCCCCAGGCGGCTGGCTGGGCGCCGCGGGAGCAGGGAGTTGGCTGGGGTGGGCTTTGGGCTTGATCCGGCCCCGCTCTTAGCAGCCTCTCTCGCTGGAGGAGGAGCAAGGATCATCCCGGAATTTTCTGCGGTAGGAAGTCGAGGGAGAGGGGCTGCGTTGCTCGTAGTTCCCGCTATAGGGATAATAAAGCGAAGATCCTGTCTGGTGACCAGAGATGGAGAAGGCAGAGCTCTTGTAGCAATCATGCAAAAGGGGAAACTTCGAGAAGGTGCAGTTTGTGTCACGCAAGACTGCAAACCTACCTGTACCAAAAGATTCGCTGTTTTACATGATCTAATGACAGAGCGTTTGGGGGCCCCTGTCCTCTGAATCTAGTCCTCCTCATCTTGCCATTAGGAGGTCAGCAACGCTGGTGATGAACACCAGCTTCGATGGCTTTAGAAGGGGTTTAGAGTGCTAGGATTAGCTATATGTCTCTCCCCCCGCCCCCCAGGACACATCTTATTTTCTGTGGGTATGTAAAATGAGAGTTCATAACTAAAAGTAGAAGTCTTGCTTTTCAAAATATAGCAACCCTAGTTAGACACGTTCATAGAGGATGGAGCTATCCATGGCAGCTAGTAAAAAGGACTATGCACTACCTTTGGGATTGGAGACACCATACCTCTGAATTCTAGTCACAGGGGAATAACTGCACAAGATCACTGAACTAGAGGATACTGAAATGAGATAAGCCTCCTGTCAGATCCAGCAGGACTCTTCTAACCCACCCACCCCTCCTTTGTGTCCATAGTGTCATCATTTCTAAGCTCTAGTAGTAACCCTGAATGGGTGTGGGATTCAGTTGAATGTGGAAAGAGAAGTCAATTCTTGGATCACTGAGCATTCTTTGGGCTGCTGTTGTTTGTAATGTGAAATTGTACCCCTTACCCATGTATGGACCAATTGATTAGGAATGTTGAGGTGTGGTGCATCTTCTCTGAAATCAAAGGAAAATTAGCAACCAAAGGACTATCAAGTATAGGGAACCTTTGGCCCTCCTGATGTTGCTGAACTACATCTCCCATCATCAGTTGCTGGGGCTTTTGGGACTTGTAGGTCAGCATCTGGAGGTCCAAAGGTTCCTCACACCAGAGCTAGATGGTCCATAGCATGATGTCTTTGAAGAAACCATAACAAATTATAACTCAGATTGCCTCTGCAGCACTTTAGATACCCCCATTTTTGGCCGCTTCTCTTCAAAGTATACATTTTTGTGACGTTATCAGATACCATGTTTTGATGTGTTAGAGTGGATCTGTGTTTCTGCTTGACAATAAATTTAAACACTATGCCTTCTGTTTCTTCTAGATTCCAGTGGAACCAAAATTTTGACTGCTGGCTTGAAGCAGTATAAACTTCCACCAGATTACAGTGGTATGTTGAGAAATAAGGGAGAGTGTTAAAGTATGAAATGGATGTTTGATAATGAGTGTTTTATGGCAGGATGAAGTGCGGTAAGCATAATTGGTATTCACTCGGAGATGTACTGCATTGAAAGAATAAATCAGGAATTAACGCAGGTGGCGCTGTGGTCTAAACCACAGAGCCTATGGCTTGCCGATCAGAAGGTCAGCTGTTCAAATCTCTGCAACGGGGTGAGCTCCTGTTGTTTTGTTTCAACTCCTGCCCACCTAGCAGTTCGAAAGCACGTCAAAGTGCAAGTAGATGAATAGGTACCGCTCTGGCGGGAAGGTAAATGGTGTTTCCGTGCACTGCTCTGGTTCACCAGAAGCGGCTTAGTCATGCTGGCCACATGACCCGGAAGCTGTCTGCGGACAAAGGCTGGCTCCCTCGGCCTATAGAGTGAGATGAGCACGCAACCCCAGAGTCGTCTGCAACTGGACCTAACGGTCAGGTGTATCTTTACCTTTACATGAAATATCATGGAATGAAACACTGGGGTAGTATTGTTCCCAAAAGAAAGATTCTCTTCTCTAGAGAGCTGTTCCCAGAACATGTAGCCATTACACCTGGAGAACTCACCCATCTCCTCCACAATACAGCAAAGACACTGTGCACAAAGAAGTAGCCTTCCAGGTATGCAGCCTCAGCTAGCTAGGAAATGCCAAGCATTTGAAGATCCCACTGCTGGCTTTCTTCATCCAGCAGCAGTGACTGCATAGGCACTGAAATGCAGTGTTGAAATCATACAGGTTAGCTTGGCTACCTTTGGCAGTACTGTTTGAAGGAGCTGAGAGGGGGTTAAATCTAGACCCCCCACCCACCTTCTGATTAGGAAGAAGAAGAACCTTGATTGAGGTGGTTGGGGCATAGAGTGACTGTTGCTTTCTGAGACCAGAACAGATACTCATAAAATGCCCACTTTGTTCTGGGCAACAAGTGCACTTAGTGTATATTATTTCCTTAAAGATATTTTGTACTAGGCAGACAGTGATCACATGAAATGTGTCAAATATGCTTCCCTGTGTAGTAGGTGGAATCAAAAACACTTAGTAATGATACTGTGCTGGAATGCTGTAGAATCAAACGTGTGTGCCGAAAAGCAGGGAATCCAACTCCCTGCGTTGTTGTTGTTAAAAAAGCAAATAGAGCAGCTATACTTTTTGCTAAGGTTTGGCTCTTTTATGCAATAGCCCTTTCGGCTGCTCACGTCTCTCCCATTTAACAGAAGGAAATTTTATTCCATTTCAAACTGCTGCCTTACTACAGCAAATATAGCTTCAAATTAACTTCATGAACCAACATAGTGATAATAAATCTTAATGCTGCAGTCCTATACAAGTAGTTCCATTGGTATCTGGAAAATTGGTGCCCAACTGAAGGCCAGTTTATGTTAGCTTAGCAAAGTGTGGGCACATACACAGACTCTTGTCTGTATTAAGTGTACAAGAACGAGGGAAGACCTAAACAGGGAAGCAGTTCTCAAGAGCTCCACTAAGACTCATTTTTCTCTTCACCAGGACCATAAGGGCAAGGAGGAATCTGCTTTTGGTGCAGAAGAGTCCTGGTTTCTAGCAGGTGTTACCAATAGCTTTTAAATCCACCACAATTTTTGGTATTGCACTAACTTGCTGGTGGCATGTACTATCTTCCTCAGAAGGCTCTTTACAAATTAAGACCCTATGTAAAATGAACTTCAAGGACACAGAAAGCTGTATTTTTTATTTTTTTTTGAGGTGGGGGAAGGTATTTGAAAAACACACACACACAAATAGTATCAGCTGGCCTGTTTACTTTAGCTGGGGGAGGCAAAGTGATATTTAGAATCATAGAATTGTAGAGTTGGAAGGGACCATGAGGGTCATTAATCCAAAGGCATCCGAATATAGCCTGTTATCAGCTCAAATGTTAACTTTGACGTACCATCTCCTAAATGTGTGTTAACATTACTGGCTCTAGTGTTCCTATATAGTTTACAATAGGTAGCTAATCAGG